CTTTTGGATTGGAATACCCGCACGTGTCTTTCGTCTGCAGCGAATTTAGTTCTTCATTTTGATACTCCGTGGTACTGCCTTACCGTCTTCCGGTAACCTTGGTATTCTCGTATTGGCTCTCGTAAAGTATATTCAAGCTTCTTCCAATATGATATAGGTATCGTGAATCAGTATTGGTCCAATAGGTCAATAGAATCAAATAGATGTTCTATAGATCAAAATCGCTCTAGTTTACTTCTTGGATTGATATCATAGACAATTCTCTTCGGTTCAGCGTTGGACCTGCGACTTTGCCTACAGAAGTATTGCATACTGCTTTCGAGCGCGGCAGGCGTAAAAACGCAGAGTGCCCTTGTCTAGTAGAGTGCGCGATTAAGTGCTCTACTAATTTACCGCGCCGCTCAAATGCATGATGAAAGAACCCGAACCACGAACCAATCCTTCATGCACAAGGTATATCTTTCACTAATGGGGAACCAGCCGCATATCGTCCTTCATAATCCTAGAGATAGACCCGCGCATGGGTAATCCCCGGCCATACTCGTTGATTTCGTCTGTTTGACCAAGTCCACCACAAAGCAGCCTAGCCTTTGTCGTTGTATCAATATACTCCTAAATAACAACTGGAGTAAAACTACGTTTGGTCGGAGTCCTTCACTACATCCTGGATCGTCCTTCGTAAGGCAATCCTACCTGAAGCAATGGAGCATCAGGCAAACTTGTTGCCACATCAGAAGTACAAAAGTGAGAATGCCCACTCTGCCAATGAATTAATATCAATGCGTTCCTAAGACTGTCCCCAATTGCTCTTGAATATTTCTTCGAAGAGGAACGCCTGTGTCAACGAAATACTTGTGCTTTTCAACGCCATGTCTTCATTGCAAGAACTACAGAACCGTAACTTGGACGAAAACCGCGGACCAGAATTCCGAGCTTTCTTAATATGCATGCTCACCTTGAGCATTACAGTAGTAGCTCTACGCTTCTGGTCTCGCGCTATTGGCCCACGAGTGTCTCAAGGAAAAGCCACGCATCGATTTTGGTGGGATGACTGGGTAGCTTTCTTAGCTCTAGTAAGTCACTTAGGCTCAGCAAGACTGGATGGAGATACTAAGCATCTCCATAGATTTGCCTCATGGCATTTACTGCAGTTGCGATAACTCTAGTTCACTTTGGATTAGGTCGACATATCTGGACACTGGACGAAACTGAATTATTGATGGTTTTCAAACTTTTTTACACTGTCTATTATGTCTACGATGTGTCCTTATTTCTTACCAAGACATCCGCCCTATTATTTCTTACCCGTTTGTTTCCGAGGCACACAAACCCTACATGGTGGAATATCGCTTTGTGGGTAACCCATGGTATGAACTCTGCGTGGTTTGTTGGTATTTGCTTTGGGACTGCTTTTATGTGTAAGCCGCTTGCAAAAGGATGGAACCCGTTGATACCTGGAGAGTGTGGGGCAACAAGTGCGCTCTGGATTGGAAGCGCCATTCCAAGTGTCATTATCGACTTGGTCATTCTACTGCTACCTTTGCCAAAAATCTGGTTTCTTCACATCAGTGTAGCGAGAAAGACCGGTGTCACACTTGTTTTCATCTTGGGGTACTGGTAAGATAATCATCACAAAACATTCTCTATTTCTAGGCTAATGATGGTTGTAGTGTCATTATTGTCTCACTTGGTCGATTGATAACTGTACTCAGATCCGCCAAAGCTTTGGATCAGGATATTACTTGTATGTATAGGTGAATCGACATCCCTGATATTGCAATTCTAATGCTTTTTATAGACGAGGGAATGCCCATGGTGTATTGGGTCTCTACCGAGTGCCCAGCTACCATCATCAGTATTTGTCTTCCTCCTATGCTGAATATTGTCCGCCATTTCTACAAAGGGTTTCTCTCGCCGTTTACGAGCAAGATATCGTCCATGATGACTTCAAAATCAACTGCCTCATCGTCAACAATAAAAAGTCCTGGTATGTTTTCAAGGTCAGGATTGAAATATTCCGGCGGAAATAGTGATGTGAACCTTCGGACTGAATCCAATGGAAGCTCTCATAGCCTTTGGCAGTTAGATAATCGTGGTGCTTCAGTGGAAATTACGATCTAATTGGTGATCTTGGAACCGGAAGCACTGGGCCGATATCATCGGTGAAGGTCTGCTAGTTCCATAGAAACATTGTAGTCAATCAATAATTCGATCCGCGCAGCTTTGCCTCTGTCTCGAAGTGAAAATTTTAAGCCGAAACGGACTACCAGAATCACTAGCGGTAGAAGCCTAGTAACTATGGGCCAAGGTACTCTCACTATTGATCAACTACACGTACTCCGAAACCGTAATAATAATAATAATACTAGATTACTAGAGGACTTATAAGTCCTAGGCTTGCCGCCCCTTCTAGACTATCCTATCCTGTTTGTAGTGGAGAAAACTAAAGTACAGCAAAACTCCCTCCTATCTCCCATTTGGCTTCCCTTTCTTATTAATGGGTTACCACCTTCTGCGTGTGCTTCACTGTTGTACCGACATTTTAACGCCCTTGGGCAGCTGACTGATTTCAGCCAGGGTCAATTTCCTCATCTCCTTCCTCCCCTCCTTCCTCTCCCCTTCCCCTTACCATCTCCCCCATGTGTTTCCTCATCCATGAGAATTGCATGAGTGGTAGGTGTTCTAGCATCCAGATTGCTACCTTTCGTGGGTGCCCGTTCAGCCATGCTTTTGCGTCGCTTGTCCCTGTATCGTTTTCCAGCTGATGGCGTTGTTCTGCGAGGAGCCTACAAAATGCCAAATAGTGTCGGACCGTGCCAATCTCTCCGCATTCACACTCTGGATTAGCTTCTGGTACACCTCTTTGGTGCAAGAAGGCCGGGAGCCCTATGGCTCCTGTTCTGGCTTGCACTAGGATTGCGGCCTGGGCCTTGCTGAGCCCCTGATACCGTCTTATGTACTCCTTGTGCTGTGGAGCTGAGAGTGCGAATAGCGATCTTATACCTCTGAGTTTTTCCCACTCCTGAGAAATCTGTGTGTCCCGGGCAGAGTTAGCAAGCTGCTTAGCAGCTTGTGCTCTCTCTTTCTTGGTCTTTTGTTGTATTTCCGGTTCTACCCTGAGTAGGTCTCTTGTTATTGTTTCCCTGGCATGGTGTAGGTATTCTTCCCGCACACCTACCTGTCTCCTGCGTGGTGTGCCGCTCAGCCTTTCGCATCTCCTTTGGATTCTCTGCCTTAGCTTTTGGAAGGTTTCTATAGTGCTTTTCTCCATTGCGCCGGCCGTGAATGCGATATATTTCCTCTTGGCATATATTGATATCTCTTCTATCTCTGTTTCCCATCTCAGGACCGTTACTCGTGTGGCTCGGTATGCCCCAGCCACTGCCCGGAGTATCTTATTCTGTGCTGAGTTGAGCTTCTGTATTAGTGCTTGCCTTAGTTTGCCTTGTGGCATCCAGCATTCACTGCCATACATCATCGCTGGGCGGGCCATAGCTACATATAAGTGCCTGGCTTTTTGCAGGGTGGCGCCCCATGTTGAGGCTGTGATTCTTCGGATTGCTGCCTCAGCTCTTGCTGCTTTGGCGACAGCGTTATGGACGTGGGCTTTCCAGTTTAGCTTCCGATCTACCATAACCCCGAGAATCCTCATGTGTTGTTCTGGTTCTCCTGCTAGGGATGCAATATTTGGCATTCGCCTCTGTTCTGCATTTATCCTCTTGTTTCCTGTAAAATGCATAACCTTGTACTTTTCCGGAGCAAACTTAGCGCCGTGCCTAGCTGCCCATGCAACGCATCGGTTATGGTCTTCTTCTATGTCTCTACACGTCCACTTCGTGGAGTTGTGTATGGAGATCAGGTATGTGTCGTCTGCATATCCTACTGCCTCCGTTCTTTGCATTCCTTCAAGAAGATTTGCTGTGAAGAACAGGAACAGGATGGGTGAGATTGTACTGCCTTGTGGTATTCCGCATTGGGTTGGTTCTACTGGGCTCTCGTATCCAGGGATAGAGATAGATGTGCTCCTTCCTGTCAGGAAGGATAGGACGAAGTCTGTTATCCATCTTGGTATTTTCCTTTCGCGTAGGTTGTGGATGAGCCTTTCGTGGTGCACCTTATCGAAGGCGCCTGCCATATCCAGGGAGAGTACCGTTGCCACCTTGCCATTTTCCCATGCTGTCTGGATTGTCTCTATGATGTATCTCAGAGCCATGTTTGTAGAGCATCCTGCTCTAGCCATTTGGTTCTCTGGAAGTAGTGTGTGTGTCCTAGAGGCTTCACTAATCTTTCGTGCAATGACTGCCTCTAGGACCTTGCCAACACATGATAACAGTGCTATGGGTCTCCATCCTTTTGGGTTGGAGGGATCCTTCCCTGGTTTCTGGAGCATTATTGTCTGTGCTTCTCTAAATTTTGCTGGATGGTACCCCGCATTTATGCATGCCTGGAAGATCCGTTGTAGGTGTGGCATTAGTTGTTCGAGACATTGTTTAATGCAACGGTTCGGGATAGAGTCAGGCCCTGGTGCCTTGTCGTTTGGGAGTTTCTTGACTACTGTGCTTATCTCTTCCTCCGTGATTACTTGTTCTATTTGTACCGGCTCTGGGTATGTTGCGCCTGGGATGTCTGATACTTCCGCCGGTTCCGGCGGTGGAAACATTACTCTCCTAAGTACCTCTGTTTTCTGCAAGTTTGTCTGGAAGGTTTCTTCTCCAATTTTTAGGTCGGGCATTAGTGGTGGGGGGATAGGTTCGCTTGCGCCTTTAGCCCATTTTGCTATGTTCCACATTGTCATGGTGTCTTGGGTCCTGTCATGAGTAAGAGTCCTCCATGCCTTCATAGATTCCTCTCTTGTGATTTTCTTTTGCTGCCTCCTACATTCCTTCCAGTATTCCCATGCTTCTTCTGTTCTGTACACTCTGGCATCTCTGAACGCTCGGCGTGTCTGCGCTCTCGCCCCCTGTACCACCGGATGGCTTTTTGGGTCTGGGGGTCGGTATTTTCGGTATGGGGTGTATTTGTTTCTGCAGTCCTGTAGGGCATAGAGTAGGGTCTTTATATCCTGGTCAATCTCTTCTTTATTTGCTGGCAGGCGATCTTGATCCTGAAGTTGGATCTTTAGGTGTTCCCTAAACTCTTTCCATTTCGTGTCTTTCCAGAGCCATCTGCCCTTATCTTCCTTTTCTATTGTTATGTTGATATCTGTGTGTATTGGTAGATGGTCGGAGTCTACATGCATCCCTGTCGGTTGACATGCTATAATCCGGTTGCTAACCTGTGCTGTGGCTAAGGTAAGGTCTATTGTTGTTCCTTCTATATCTTGCTTTTTTCTTTTCCATGTCTTTAGTCCTCTTAGTGTATGTAGATATAGGGTTCCTTGGCATCGCGCATGCAGTTCCCGGGCTACTAATTCTTCGCGTATTACTGATTCTCCGCCCCACCATTGGTGGTGCAGGTTGAGGTCTCCTGTGATAACATGCTCCCCTGGAAGCTCAATGCCTTCAAGTATCTCGTCTGCTGTCATGGTGGTGTGTTGGTTGTATATGTTGTGTATGTGAATTACTCCTATCGTTGTCTGTATGTGTAGGACCATCTTGAGTCCACTGAGGATAGTGTAACTCCATTCCGATCTAGGAATGCTCTTGTGGATGTATGCCATCACTCTGTATCCCGCTGTTTCTGGGATGATGGTGTAGTACCCTGGGTGTGTTGGGGGCTTTCCATCTAGGGTCCCCTGGTGGGGTTCCTGTATAGTGACAATGTCTGCCTTCCCTTCTTCTAGTAGTATCTTGTGTGTTTCTCTTTTCCTTTGGGTGTTTGCCTGTAGTATTCGTATGTGCTCGGCATTTCTCATTGGGTGCTGGGCATGGGCTGTTGTATTGGCGTTTGTGACTGTGTTGTGATTGGTGCGCTTGTTGGCGGCATACTAGCTCTTATAGAGCGAAAAATATCTCTCTGGCCACGTTCTGGCTGAATGGTTTTTGCTCTGTTAACCGCCCCTAGGGGTCGGCCTGGCCTCCTCTTTAGGATTCCTCCTGCTGGTGCTTTGTGGTTTTGCACTGTCTGCCATTGAAACTCCCCTTCTTTGCCTTTCTCCCTTGCCGCAGCCTCCATTGGTGCTGGGATCATCTGCTGTGCAGGCGTTGATGAGAGCCACCTGGCTCCCTTCGCTCGAAGCCCCTGCAGGTAGGTCCTCCTCTGTACTCTCTTGGTACATTGTGGTGCCCACGCTGCGTGTTTCATGCCGCAGTTCACGCACTTCTCTTCTGTCCTGTCTGACTCTTGTAGAGTACAGTCACGGATATTGTGCTGCCCTGCACATTTGCCACACGCTGGTTTATTTGTGCACCTGTTTCCTGTGTGACCATATTGGTAGCACTGGAAGCATTGCATGATCGCCCCCGCGTGGTCCCATGGCTCAGTGCTGTGGAGGACCCCTCTGATCACTACTCCTCGCTGTAGCAGTGTCTGAGCAGCTTCCCTGTCTCGGATCTCCAACACGAGTGTGGAGTGTTTCTTTTCTCCTTTTTGTATTGCTTTCAGGTTCTTCCACCATGCTTTGGCGAGCCTGATCCCTGGGACTATCTTATTGTTCTCTCTTTCCAGCTCCTGGATTGCCCCCTCCTGGATATCCGGTCCCTGAACTGCCACTGCGTGTACCTGTATCGGGTACAGCCTCTGGACCAATTTTGCGCCCTGGATCACCTCTGCCACATCTGTTGCTTTTGTGATTTGTTTTGCGGCCGTGGCGTCTGTGGTAGTGAGAATGAGTCCCTCCCGGACCTTTCTCGCCGCTACTACATTGGACCACGCTCCGCCTCTTCCTTGGATCTTCTCTACTATTTCTCCTGGTGCGGTTTCCTGGATGTGTCTCTGGACCTCCGGTTCGGTGATCTTCAGGGTTATTGACCTATCCTGGGTGTCCTGGGAGCTCCTGGTATCCATGTTTACTCCCTGGTTTGGTATTCCGCTTGCTACTGCGGCCCAGCTTCTCGGTTGGCTGGGTGCCTGGTTCTGTTTCTGTAGGATCTCTGTGATCCTCTTGAAGCCCTGTTGGATGTCCCTCTGGACACCCATAAGCCCTTCCTCTTTTCTTGTTTCCTTTTTGTTAATGATTTCTAGTTCTTTACTAACCTCTCTTAGGATCCTACTTGTTCCCTCCTCTACCGCCTTCATTATCTCCTGTTTATCTTTTCCCTTGTGACCCTGGGAAATTATGTCAGCTGCCATTTTTTGTAGTTTCTGCATGAATTTGTTAATTCCGCTCTTATTCTTTTCTTTTTCACCTGTTTGAGGTGTGGCAGGCTTGATAATGCCTTCCATCGTGTCTGTGTCGGGCTTGGCCCTTTCTCCTTCTTGGCGCGCACTGGCCATCTCTCCTGTAAAATTCTTTGCGCTTCTTCGCGAGGAGATCAGAATTTCACCTGGTGATGCTGCTACTACCACGCTTGCCTGTGCGGCTGCACTGGAGAGTATTGGTTCTGGCGATGTTCTGATTGTTTTGGTGTGCTTTTGGCTTGTGTTGGGCTCGGATTGGCGAAGATCCAATCTGCAGCCAGTTGAGTGTTTATATAATGAGAATATAGACAACAGAACAGAACGCTATATATATATACGAGCGTTGATAGGTGTAACTCTGTCTATAGTAGTATTTATAAAAAGTCTATTGATCAGGCTTGTATCTGATATATAATAAAATAATATTTATATTAAGTACTGTTGTTTTTAGATTGTCTCTTTTTCCCTTATACCGTAACGGGTAGCATAGTATGTAGTAAGGTAGAACTAGATAATTATGAGACGTGATTGGTTAGGGGCTATCAGGCACGATTGAGTAAGAGGAGCAACAGGATATATTCGAAGGTAGATGGAGAAAAATCTTAGGATGTAAGGATTTGTATGAGTGATAGCTATATATACTGTTCTACAAGTCCCGTGTACGGTCCGACCTATTTCCGGATGGGTCCCGGGGGGTATCCAGTAGGAGGGTTGAGATAGATCGTAACAATGATTAATTAACCTCAGCTATTTAATTATAAAATAATAACATAAGACGTAATATAATTACGCTAGATAGTATATTCTGCAGTTAGGGTTAAGCATAATAGGATTAAACTTGAACCTCATAATAGTACATGTCACGAATAAATATCTGAAAGAATCAGATGGATCAATAATCAGCTAGTTCTACTTAGAGTATCATGGTTGAATCAAAGACAATAAGCTAACATTAGTTCCTCCTAGATGGGCAGTTGCTTGGGTTAAATAGGCTGCCTTTATAACCTGGGCTTTAAGGTATCAGGCACTACCCTCCCTTTTTGGGTATATTGGCAGTGGTTTCTTCCTTCCTTATATCTGCTACTAGGGCCTCCGTGTTGTTTGTAAAGGCTAGTCAGTGGTGGCGTCCTTCAGCCAACGAGGCCTCTAGAGGATTGATTAATGCTAATCGAAGGAAGGTAATCATGTAATCTGCCCCCATGTGCTTAACGCTACCTAACCGGGCAATTTCAGGGTATAGCAGCTCCATAGCCCTTCCTTTAGCATCGATGCGGGTATAGATATATTGTCCCCTTAGCCGATTGGTTTCCCACTCAGTTTGTCCTTGATAATGATCCTTATTGAGCTGCAATTTGTTCATGATTGCCTGCTCCCATATCTCAAATCGGGGGGTTTTTCCGTCAGTGAGCAGCGGTGGATCGGGGGCTTTAGCAGATCGCCGGGGCTCTAAAGAGCTGGGCGCCGGGTGAGGTAAGGTGCATACAATCGGGGTCACTGTCGGCTGCCGAACTGGCTGTTCCTGGGGTGTCCGAGGTGCCGAACTGGCGGCCACCGCGGATGTAGCAGAGGGAGAAAAGCCAAGCCGGCGAGGGAACTGATAAGTCTGTGGCTTCTCTACTGAAGGAGCTGGCTTATTAGCAAGGATTTGGGCTTGCAAGGCCCTGTTTTCTGCTTTTAAGGTTTCCATTTGGGTGGCTTGCTCGATTTTCTCCAACTCTTGGGCCTCTACAGTCTCCTGCAACTGCATAGCTTGAAGGTAGGTGCGGTTGTTCAGAGAGGCTAGATCATTGAGTTGTTGCTGGTAAACCTGGTTCCTTTGGTTGGCCCATCGAAGGTTATTGAGTACATCGGCTGGGTTTAGCTTAGAGAAGCTGACGGAGGTGCAACTAACTGCATTGTTAATGATTTCACCATCAACGATTGACTGAATACTGAAGGAACCAGGTCTGCTTTTAAGGTCATGCCTTAAACGCTCTAACTTAATTAAATGATCCCTGCTAAGCCATTCGCCAGTAACAGGGCCTTGAGAGAGAGAGGCGTGCTCATGCCTGTAGTCCTCAGTAGGCAGCAAATCGTCTATCCATAGCTCCAGTTGGGTTGGAGGAAAGGCTGCCTCTGGGTCTGCTGGTTGGTTTTCGGCCAATAGACTAGGCAGTTCGGGGTCAGAGGCAGCTACTTCCTGGCGGTTGGGTGAAGGACTGTAGCTCATAATCCTTGAACTTTCGGGGGCTGATGAGCTACCTTTCCTTGGTCGAGTGATTCTACTCGTGGTATAAGCCAAAACAGGGGTAACAGGTGGTAGGAGTAATACCTGTAGTCCTTTGCAGGCACGGGGTTAATCTCAGCACGGGAAAGTCCAGTTATCAACACAGAAGTTGATTTGGTCACTCCAACTGAGCTGATTTACTAGTAACTCGAAGCCAAAATAGCGTCTATCTCAATGGGGCGTCCAGGCCTGCCTAGACAGGGCTTGCGGTGAAGAGCAGACAGAAAACAGATAACCTTAGACTGCTTAAGACGGCTCAATCACAACGGCGGCGATCGTGGCAGATATCAAGACTCGGTTTAATAGGCGTGTTAAAAGATCGTGGTGCAGTATTGTAATGGCGCCGCTGGCCGGTAGGAGGGTTGGGCGTATCGTACTGTCACGAATCAATATCCTAAGAAACCAGACGGATATCAGCTAGTTGGAGCATCAGAGTTGAATTAAAGATAATACGCTGCCTAGCTATAGGAGGATAAAGTCCTTGTATAGTAGGCAAACAGGCAATAGTGCAGGGGCCATCTGCTAGGCAACAGTGCATAGACTAATCACCTCAATCTGATCTATCCTCAATTCACATCTCATCTAGTGTTGATGCTCAATCATCTAATTATTGTTTAATTTGAGTAATTGACTGTCCGTAAAGGTTTAACTATGTCGATAATATATTAAAAAGTGGTTAGTTATAAAAGATGAAATGTGAGACTTGTTTAATTAGGGACTATTAGGCACAATTAGGTGAAATAAGCAAAACCGTTTACCTGCTGGGTATAGTTCGGAACCTTAACGGGGAGTCTTCGGTGCCTGGTAGGCTTGTAGGGCTAGTTCTGCGTTTCGAATTGCTCGTTCGAATTCGCCCCAGGTCTCCACATTCGTCAATACGTTTGTTCTTATCATCTCGAGTTCAAGGTTTCCTGGGATTTTTGCCCAAATAATTGCAATACGTGCTTGGTCGTTTGCAACTGCTCTAAAGGAGAGTGCTTTCTCTAGGCATGTAAAGAAGTTGTAGAAGCTGGCAAATGAATCGCTGCTCCTCCATTTGAGGTTGTAGAACCGTTGATAGTTCTTGTACTTCGTAAATAGGGGTCCTCGACAGAGCTCCTTAATCCTGAATTAAATGTCAAGCCACGTATGGATTTCACCGTCGGAGATGGATCTCCGAACAAGTTCCCTTTATTTCGATCAGTGGTAGGCTGATAGGAGGCGTTTTGATTGGTTGATCAATTGATTCAGAGCTCGATTACTCAACCACCATTGATTTTGATAGTAGGATACTCTGCAATATGGTTGATAGGGTCGATATCTATCAGCTCTATTGGTTGATTGATCAAATTCAGCTTGTGGTTGGTTGATTGCCGGTGTAGTTGAGGGACATAGTCGAATTTCTACAAGGACGTTTGTCGCGTTGACAAACGTCTGCTAAGAGCTTGATCTCTGCAACGAGGCCTAGTTAAAGTATATAGATAGGACGCAAAAATAGAGCTTTTCTACCTTTCCTACCTATTCGCCGATTGCGGGTCGTGCCTGTGATGCTCCCTACTACAGAGGCGTCTATACGCGACAATATGGCAGGTAGAAATTCAGTCTAATTGAAGTGCCAGTAGTTGATTGATTATAGGTTGCATGTATTTCGAGCCTGGCTTGCATCAAGAAGGCGTTCGTTGCTTCTTTTTAAATTCTAGTTTATGAATAATATTTGGTATGTTAGTATGAACTGGATTTCATTGACCTTGATCATGTAACTAAACTCTTGTGAGACGTGATTGGTTAGGGGCTATCAGGCACAACCGAGTGAGAGGAATAACAGGATATATTCGGTAGTAGATAGAGACAAATCAAAAAGGAGTAAAGAGTTGTATGAGTGATAGCTATATATACTGTTCTACAAGTCCCGTGTACGGTCCGACCTATTTCCGGATGGATCCCGAACGGTATCCCGTAGGAAGGTCGAGATGGATCGTGACAACTCTACGCACTCTTGACTGGCCTATATCACCATTTGACTAGTAGATATCCTGCATGAGTTCACGAACAAGGCGCGAGAAAGGCAGCGTTCAAATCAGGAGCTCTGTAGACTTTTGGTACGGACGTGTCGCTCTCAGAGCAACAGCTGCTGCCTGTTATTTCAAAAATGTAGCAACAATCTATGCTTACTTACTGCCTGGTTTAAACTATCTTTTCTTATGCGCAGATTTTTGCTAACTAGATGGTTTAGGTTGGCGCGCAACCCTGGCTGCTAGGTTCTTCCTGGGAGCCTTGCTACTATTCCTTGCTCGATTGACTTGTTTAATGCAGGCCATAGAAGGTATAGAAATAGGCAAGGACGTTACGGTAGTTGAGTGGAGATTACATATTTGAGAAGTGAAGGATTTCGGCGTTGTAATCGGAGGGCTAGATTTTGAAGCCCAAGAACTTAGCGAGCGGAGGACCGTGAGACGTGATTGGTTAGGGGCACCAGGCACAATTGAGCGCGACGAACAACATGATATATCCAGCGGTAGATCGAGACAAATCCTCGAGGAGTGAGGATTTGTATGGGTGATAGATATATATTGTTCCACATACCCTATATACAGTCTGACCTATTTCCAGATGGAAACCAAGGGGTATCCAATAGAAGAATTGAGATGGATCATGACAATGGATCGGCCGTCGCACAGTATAGATCTGCCTTAGTTGTTGATAATTCAGTATAGATCTACCCTTGTCATTATTTGGGATGGATCGTGACAGAGCGGCCCCCCTTTTTTAAGGTTCGTCCCGAACCGTAGTTGGGAAATTGAAAAGGCAGGGCCTTAGGCTTTCGAGTTCGTAGCTCAGTCGGCAAGTACGCGGAACGTTTGCGGAAGTTAGGTGGCCCTCCCCGTTTGCTTGCCCATTGAATTACCGAAATAAACTCCTGAAAACCCTCGCTCTTTCTTCAAGGGAAAAGCAGTCCTTGAGAAGGTTGTTTCGATCATGAGGTTGCTTTGCAGCGTTTGCTGGCCCTGCTGAGCGTTCGCGCGTTTGCGCATTCAACGCCCAGTTGTCAGGTCCAGTGATCGTTCGGTGGGGCCAAGTCCAGGCAGTAGGTAGCGGCGGTTCCGATTTGATACCCAGTGTGCCTTCGACGGAAGCATTGATTGTAAGGTGTATCGAGTTGCCTCGTTGGTGGCGGTTGCGTTGGAAGTTGTTTGCAAGTGATCAATGATGACATTTCGGTTGCGCAAGTGGCCTCATGGCTCTCCTTGTCCCTTAACGCGCTCATTCACGGGTATGATGCATTCATAGTCGGGTAGTGTTCGAAAAGAGGCCGGAAGCCGTGTATAAGTAGCAGAGCTGGAAGTTGATTTATTCTTCCTTCCCTCTCTAACCTTTCTACCCTTCAGTGATCACCCCTTCAAGTCAAACCCACCTTCTTTTCGATCACTTCCCGCTACCATGCCTCTCACCATTGAGCAAACCTCGAATGACCCCATTCCCCCATATGTTTGGGGCTTTCCGGCTCACTTGGAGCCTCAGCCTTCGCTGGTGACTTTGCACTGCGAGACTTGCATCAGTCACATCGCCAATTCAAGCTCTACCGAACAGTTTGTTCAGAGGTTTGACGCCTGCCTTCGTGATAATGATCTTGGGTGTTGCAAGAGGTGTTCTCAGTCGAAGCAAACCTGCTTCAACGTAAGTTTCTCACTCTCTCCCTCCCCTTTCCGGGTGTTGGCCGAGTCCTTTTCGGCGGAAAAGATGGCTTGATGGTGACTGGGTTTGCAAGGTTGACCCTGAGTTTCGTCGCGGGGTCAATGTTCTGGTCTTCCTCACTGAGTACGCCCGCCGCAAGGAGAACGCTCTCACTTCCGACTCCACCGAGGAGCAGCGCGTCGAGGTCGGTGCCAAGTACGAGAAGGCTCGCGGATATGCCGTCAAGTTGAATGCCGCCTTGAAGGATTACCGTGCTTGGTTGAAGAGGCAGCTCAAGGACAAGGAGATGACCAGGGGTGCTTGGGATTCTGCGCGCCAAGCCTCCCGTGAGCATAATCTGCGTTGACACAAGGACGGGATGGGCTCGGTAGGAGAGTGTCGCCCTTCCAACGTTGTGATTGACGGTCGGATTGAGTCAGTCTTTGGCCGGGATGGTTTGGCAAAGAACCGTGAGAAGCGGTTCTATTACCTTGGGCGTGAGATTCCCAGTGCCGCTGCCAGTGAGTCGCTATCTCCCCGGAAGAGGGCTCGTCCTACCTTCCCCAGTTCTCAGGGGGGACAGATGGAGGAGTGAACTTATGTTCCAGTGTTCATGAACGGTATTTGTAGCAATTGATTGTCCTTCTGTTGGGGTCTGATCGCAGTCTCGCGCCCCCTTTGCTTGCTGGTGATGTCTTTCCTCGGTCGTCCCCTTGGACGCTTTGGAGTGTTGCTGGTACAGCCCTTTGGCGACCCGGGCTGTTGCCAGCTGGGATCTTATACGTGCTCAGCTGCCTAATACTCCCGTAGGAGTTTGCTCCTTTAATCAAATTTTGATTCTAGCTCCTATGTTGGCGAACACTTGCGTAAGTGCTATGCAGCAGGGTCTTTGGTCAAGGGGTTGATGCCCCCCCCCCCCCCTTCTTGTTCTATCGAAAATTCTTCCTTACTGCTGCTCCTATTACAGAGTATGTATGGGATGCAATTGCTACATCATGAGGTAGAAGATCCATCGCTGAGGCCTCTATCTCTAGGGCTAAAGTAGGTAGTATCGGCTCCTTCGTCCTCCTCATTGTTCTCATAGAGCCACTCGGAATTTCTAGGATCGTTGGGTGCTATTTTCAAAAGGAGATTCTACTGCTACTGCTTGGATCAACATAGAGTATTTCAGGGCAATGTCGCGTCTACATGTAGATATGTAGCTAGAGCGCCTTTCTGCTACTTAAGCTGTAAGGCATCAAAAGGAATTTCACATAGTGCAGATAAATGTCGTGTAGGCATTGAGCCTACTAACAGTTTCGTTCTTTAGTAGTACCTAACGTATTCATGCCCTAAGCCCTAGTGATGTTCTTATCTTAATCTTCGTCGCCTGTAAGATCAATGACCTTAGCCTCATTGTTGCTTGTGTCGACGGTGAGGTCCACTCTGTCAGGGAGTCTATAATAGTTAGTAACAAATAGCAGTAGGAGAATGCATTTATCTTACTTCATGATGCCTCGTGCATATTCTATGCATTTCTCTGAGCTTAGACTTTTCTTGAAATCCATCCATTGCTCGTACTCTCCAGGTTCCTTCCACGAGTTCTCAACGAACTTCACAAGGCCTTCCTGGAAGGCTGCGCGCTGGGCAACGTCGATGAAGCGCGGCAGGGGGGGCTCGACTTCCTCTTTCTGACCTTCCTCAGTAGGTTGGGCGGGCTTCTGGGCTTCGGTAGACATGTTGTTGGCTGTTGGTTGTTGATGTGGGTGTTTTTGTGGGTGGCTTGATTGTATTTGTGGGTGCTTTGATGGTTGTTGAGAGGAGATGTGAGAGTTATCGAGCGGAAGGTTTGAGGGCTTCGACGGGCTAAATATATAGGCGTGGAAGGCGGTGGTGAAGGCGTCGGTGAAGGCAGTGGTGAAGGCAGTGGTGAAGGCAGTGGTGAAGGCGGTGGTGAAGGCGTTGGTGAAGGCGTTGGTGAAGGTGTTGGTGGGAGCTTGGTGAGAGGACTGGCGAGGCCATTGAGCGATGCCGTGATAAAAGGTCGTTATAATGGCCTGGGCGGTAAGACTATCTAACTGGCGTGATAAAGAGCCGTTATAACTGCCACGGGGGTTCGCCAGCGTAATCGGTCGATTGATTTTCTGCTCTACAACTAATTCAGTCGCATCTTAGTCCAAACCCCCCCAGCTGCTGATGCATTTGGAGGCCAGGGTAACCTGCGTGACTCGGTCAGTGCAACCCATTGGGCGCTCCGGCCCATGCATTCCAGGCTCCCTCTGTAGGCAGCTGGAGGTGCTTGGATATAGACGGTAGACACCTTCTTTATGCTCAAAAGTCTCCGAACCGTCTGCAGGCCAGCAACGCGAGTTAGCGAATCCAACTCGTACTTCTCTGGGGTGCAAGCAGTATCATGAACCCATGCCTCCTTCACTATCCTTGCCATGGCCACTGTATGCCAGTATTTCGTAGAATCTGTAGCGCCACTCAGGCAGGAAGTGACGAGTCCTATGCTGCCAGAAGAAACCTATTCTTTGGCAGCTGCCGACACGGTAACTCCGGCACTATAGTCCTCGCGCAAGAGTGGATCGGAGCCAGCTGAAGCTATGTGGCCTGTCTTCTGGTCGCCAGTACTATATGTGGCGATGACAGAGACAATGCGTGGCTGTTGTTGTCCAGTTGGTGGGTTAGCACTGAGCGCCTTGATCCACCGAGCAAGTCTCGCATAGTCGGTTGTAGGAGAAAAGTTGAATTGGGCTGGTAGGGGCATGCCGTAATATTCGTCGCAAGCCCAAGCATCATCGTCATGCTCCTCGTCCTCGTCCTCGTCCTCGTCCTCATCATCTTCATCTTCATCCTCATCCTCATCCTCATCCTCATTCTCGTCCTTATCATATTCATCCTCCTTCTCAATCTCCTTCTGGCTGGCAGCAAATGAGGACTTGGCTTCAGCCACTGTTGTATCGAAGACGTCGCGACCAGTTGGTATCATGTTGACCTTGATGGATTGGAAGTTCAGAATAGCAAGCAGAGATGGCGTGCTTTGGACGGTTCTTGAAGGTCTGAACTGTAGGGTTTAGAAGGTGGAGGATTTCAAGTCGAGGGTCGAAGATCGAGGGCCTGAAGCGGAGGGCGGAAGGTTGGGCGAGGTGAGAGTCTAGGTTATTCGGTAGGAGAAAGTGAAGGTGAGAGTTAAGGCGATGGTGGGGAGCAGGTCTCTAGGGAACTGCTAGGTCACGTGAGGCGTGGGGACTCATCTGCAGCAGCTGATAATGGAAGGAAACGAAATGTTCCCCATATTGGTGCGTGGACGAACAGGCCAGGCTAGCAGGTAGGGCTGATTGGAGCAAAGAGGCGAGCTGTCGTTGGCGGGAGAGGGAGTACCCGTTTGCGGCCACGATTCAGTAGAGATTCCGTCTGTAAAACGAGCTCCTGATTCCAAACCCCAAGCCAGCCGCACGGCACGGAGGCCATGGCCCAGCGCCTCAGCCGTAACGCGGACATGTTGGTGGGCAAAGATTCTGCCAATGGAACCATAATCGCCCGCCTCTACTTCGCCTTCGTAGAAGGGATATTGGTTGACGAGCGCGGGCTGGCTCTCGTGTTCTTCGTGGGGCTTGGTGAGGGCCTGCTTCTCGATGGTGTGCGTGGCATGGCTTCATGGAACGACGGTATTGTTGCCAGCAACGATGCGGAGAGCTGGATCGATGTTCATAATGCTCTCGTACGCCAGGTCCCTTTTGAGAATGATGAGGATCTTAAGACGGACGAGGATGAAGTAGCTCCATATAGTTTCAGGGCCTCAGAACGCATCTTCTTTCGTTCCCTTTTTCTACAATGTGCCATCTTCTACTTCCCATGCATCTATCCTGCATAGGTATAGCCAGAGATGACGCCAGCTCCAGCAGTAACTTCAGTCACCTCGAGGGGGTCTGTACCATCTATGACATGAGTGCGTGGCCAGACCTTATCAATGGTAGTCGCGCGATAGAACTAGCTCCCCTACTCTGCCGGTGAATCGAATGTTGAACGGTTCCGACGATCCAGAACATGTGAAAAGTAGCAAAAGCCTCCTTTTCACTCCCGACGCCATCCCGGAGCAGATCCCACTGATCCCAATCGCCGAATAGAATTGCCTAATTGTTCTCTGTCCAGGAGTCAATGTTGGGACGATTCGAATGGTCCGAACATGTCCCCAGGTGGAAAGGAGGGAAAGGCTCCTTTTCACTCTCGAGGCCCTCCCTGCGCAGATCCCACGGATCCGAGTCGCCGAATAGAATCTCATGCCCCGTCTCTACCAGTAAACCGATTCTAGGATGATTCGAATGATCCGAACATGCTGCAGGCGAGTGAAGGTTTCGAAAAATTCAGAATTCCAACCGTTTCAAAGGTGGCAGAAGGCTCCTTGGAGGTCGGCGCCCATCACGGGCAAATACCACGGGTCCGAATTGCCGAATATTGCATTCTGCTTCTCAGCGGGGGAGTCAAACATCTAGTCCTTTGCATCTATCTGGAATCCAGCGCAGGGAGGCAGTGAGGCCGAGCACCTGTTGTTCGGCCCGCCCGGATATGGTTTGCCAGGTGGCGGTTGATGTTGCAAGGGAAGGCTACCAAGATCCAGGTGCTCCTCGGAATATAGGAACTCAGGCGCCGCGAGCGCTGTGCTGCGGTGAACGCCTTGATCTCTACGGTGTGGTCAATGGAGTAGAGGTGCGTGATGGCAATGATGAGGTACTTGTCGAGTAGGGTTGCGAGCCACCCTTCGGCTCGCGTCCAACCCGGCGGGTGAGTCTTTCTCTTGTGACGCCTGCATGACTCCAGGCTTCGGTGGTTGGAGGCATTCACCCTACCAGCCCATTGGCAGTGAGCGGCACCCACCGGCAGTAGTGGGTGGTAATAGCCTCGCGGCGCTAAGGTAGTGAGAGAATGGCAAAAGGGTGGTGTATGATGGAAACCAAGACGACGGAGACCAGGACGAAGGAGAAGAGGACGGAGACGGATGGATGGAGACGACATAGAACCGCCCGTGCGCCATTGCTTGGCATTGCCTGCACTTCTGCTACTGGTAGTCGCAGAGCTACTAGGCCCAAGCCGCTCTGTTGACTGGCCACTGTAGTACTGGGCCAGCAGCATCTAGTTGCTCTTTCCATATTCTAGATAACCCTACTTACCCCAAGAAAATGGTACAGCCATCCATCACTAGCTGTAACAGCACCAGGAAGTGGATCAAAAGCGATCAAGATAATGCAGGCTCGGCAGAATCCTTTTGTCCTTTAGAGATCGATTGAAGGGATCGATTGCATGGATCGATTGTGAGACTTCAGACGCCGATGACGACGTTCAATGGGACGACCTTATGGAGGTGGCCAATGAACTCAAAAAACTCGATAATGGGCGCCTCTGTTCCTCTAGTGAGCAGAGCTTGGAGTCTCATGAAGACACCCGAGCGAGGACGACAATGCGCCGTACCTATCGTGGAGGAGCACCACCCCCAGATCGTATCCTAGCTCCGATTACGGGTCAAGCAACCTTCAGACCTTCGACGTCACTCGGCTATACCGCAAACAGATCTGACGAATTCCGAGGTGAAGGCGCTGGCATTCCTACCAACAACATGGAGGATGCGGAGGGAGAAAGTTAGATGGGACAATCGTTACTGCTTTTGGATTGCAGGCACCAGGAAGAAGTGATTCAAACTTCTTTAGATGGTGTCTTCCTCTGGAGAGAATTTTAATCATAAGGAAAATCCGGTACCACTGCTTGAGAGGGGCCTTGGCTTTTGTGTAGGCACACTCATGGGTATCTATTATCCTCTTTTCATTGCCAGGAATTATTCACAATTCTTGGAGCCGGAGTACGGGGTATTGCAAAGTCTTTTCCGATCCTATCCCTGAAGGACAGAGCGAAAGCCTTCTTCACAATCATCTTTTCGGCAATTCTCTACTCCTCTTTCTACTATACCCAGCCAGCGCCACGCCATCTCGCTACTGTCTCTCTCTATCAGCCCTCTACACTACTCTCTTGGGGCTCTGCTCGGGATGCAATCGTACGTCTTTCTCACTCTCGCCTCCTATTCACTCACCCCAAGAGCTAACCACCTTCACTAAGATCCTCCTTCGTAGTACGGGACTCACGGACGGCAATGCGTCCCCCCGTCTCCCCGCACACCCCGCGGAGGGGGTTGTCAAGGGCGCCTCCAGCGCCAGAGCAAGCGCCCCAGGAGCCCCATCCTCCAGCAAGCCCTCTAAAGTCGCCAAAACACCCAAGTCCACCTCCCGCACAACTACCGGAAAAGGTCAGGTCGCAACGGCACTGCCACTCCTCGCTCCAAACTCACCTCAGACGAAGACGCCGATCCGATCGACGGACTCCTGGCAGACCCCGGCAGCTTCTCCAGGGAGGCAGTTAAGCGTACTCTCCCGAAGAGCGGAGGCGAGCTTCAAAGCGCGTACTCCTCGATTTGTTGGATCGTTCATCACCATTGGTTGACATCCTACACCGGGAGACTGATGGCCGCAGACGGGGACGGTGTACATGAAATATCTTTGTACAGTACTTGGCAAGTAGGAAGGGAATACGTTTCATGCCAGCTGTTATCAATGCGTCGACGGTAGACGGTGGGGTGTGTTGTGATCGCAGCTCCCCTTCATGTACACCTTCCTAGTATCCATCTCAACCGTGAGTAACGTTGATATCATGCCAACTTTGCAACCGAGCGCAACTTACACCGCTAACGAGAGATGTACCCTTCCGAGCAGGTAAGGGTTACAATCACGTGTAATAATTCCTAGACTTGCCTTTATGGACAGTCTTGCCTTTACCTTCAACGTCCTTTACCCATCCATTTACTTCTTTAAACAGGTAAGAATTGCTAGTAATCTACTAGTATATAAAGCTTCAAACAGTAAACCGCCCACCTAATCTCACTAATCTTCCGACACTTCACTCAAAGATCAACGCAAAAAGACTCCTTCCTATCAACATCACCTAAGGTTGAATTGTCCGTCAAGCTTTCACGGCGTTAGGAAGGTCCTTGCCATCTAACCTCACTTTCGTCTTAAACACTTAATTCTGCTAAAAGCTTAAGATTACTTATTCTCCCTCCTCTTCCTTCTTCCTTCTTCCTTCTTCTGACAAACCCAAGTCGAGCATCCCAAACGAGCGTCCACGAAGCCAAAGGTGGAACAGCACAGAGAACGCCGCAAGTTCGAGATACAAAGTCTACATAATCACAAATATTACAGCTACAACATACGTATAACAACAAAAATACGTAAATATAAGTAAAGGTGTGGCACGATGGAGTCTGTAAGTTCACACATGCAAGCAGGTAGCAGGGCATGTATTAGGGACCTGCAGCAACTGCGCAGTCCCTCTAAAACCCACCTTCACTACTAGTAATTCTAGCAGTGCGCCTTTATTAACAGACCTCTAGAATGCTGTTCTACCTGGCCCTTTGCAGAATTCTATAGTAGATAATACGTCAGAGCTTAGTATGTTTTGCGCCCTACTTTACAAGATAGTAAGTCTAATACTAATTAAACCTATAGGCTCTCATCGTGAACCACGCGATGCGACTCAGCCTGTCCCACAGCCTTCCCAAGGAACCACGAATCGTTACGAATTCATTCACCTTGCAGAGCCTAGGCAAGAGGGACAGAGTATTTATTCCAGCTGTAATAGCACTCGAGACTGGATCGACAACGATCAAGAAGATGCGAGCTCTGCAGATTCTTTATGTCCTTCAGAGATCGATTGTGAGACTTCGGACGTCGATGAGGACGTTAACTGGGACGACCTTATGGAGGTGACCAATGAAATTGAAGAACTCGACAATGTGCGCCTCTGTTCCCCTAGTGAGCAGAGGTTAGAGTCTCGTGAAGACATCCGAGCAAGGACGCCAATTTCCCGTTCTGATAGAGAAGGAGCGCCATTCCCCAACCGTGTGGTAGACCCAATTACACGGAAGGCAGTCTTTAGACCCTCAACACCATTCAATGAAACCGCCCTCTGATCTGACGATTTTTGGAGTGAGAGTGCCGACATTCCTATCAATAACCCCAAGGACACGGAGGGAAAAGAAATAATAAGATGATCACTGCCTTTGGATTACAGGCACTGGGAGGAGGTGATTCAGACTTCTTTGGATGGTGAATCTTTCTCTGGAGGAAATTTCGCTCACGAGTGAGGTTTGTTACTACAGTTTAACAAAGGCCTTTGCTTTTATGTAGGCGCACTTATGGATGCCTACTTATCATACGGCACTGTGTATAATCTTCTTTTCGTGGCCGAAAATTATTTCACAATTCGTTAGAGGCGGAGGACGGAGTATTACAAAGTCCTTTTTAATCCAAATGTTTCTTTCTACAAAGAATATATGTTAGTGTTTGGCTTCCCTAAGCTGAGGAAAAGGAATCTGTAAAACGATCGTTCCTAAAGATAATGCTAACCTTCACAGACATTCCATTCATCTGGGCAGCAGCGGAAGAACACACTAATCAAGCGTACGGTATCGTCAAGACAGCTTGACAAAGCCAACTTTTGAGAGTAGGATGCCTAACAGTCGATCACCATCAATCCTTCTGGAGGTACTTTGTGGGGACAATGCCAACTAATAAGCATACTTGGTCAGAGCACACATTCTACTATCTATCAAGTTCCTTAATTCCACTAAAGGTTCACGGAAAGTTTACTTTCTGTCCACCTCTTTAACCAAGGGAATCAGCCAAGCTTAATGGTACATAGCGCTTTGCATTAGGTGCAATCCCATGCTGCTAAACGTTCTTGCGCAAAATCATCTAGAAATTGCTGTGCTCGTCGGTGGCGCCCAGCATGCTGATTGTGAGAGCCCCTCCATCCTGGCGTACCTATCCTCAGTAATGGGTAGGTCATCCACGCCCCTTCTCGGAAGGGCTTGCTGGCCTGGTGTAGTCGTACGCAGAACGACTGAAAGTAGCACCTAGAAGTTTCGCGACCGGACAAACATTAGTAAAGTCTCCTAAAGTAGGTGTTCCAGAGAGGGCCTAGCGTCCATGTCCTGAAATAGCCTTGATAAGTGCATATGCTGCAGAGTTCTTAGGATCACTACTGCAGAGGTAATGATACTCGTCAATCACGATGCGGTTAAAGGCGAAAATATGTAGGGGCGGGCAGTATGACATCCAGTCACCATCCCGACTAGTGTTTGTACGCTTAGGCTTCGTGGTATCTGTTCCTTGGACGGGCGCCATTTGCGAGTTGTGGTCGCTACCCTTGTAGGATTGATAGGCACTGCCGTGTTGGGGTTTCAAAGGTACAACGCCCTTGAAGCCTGGTTGCTTAAGGCGGGCCTCTAGTGCCTCCTTCTTGCCTCGCTTGAACAATCTGACTCCCTCTTGCACAAGTTCTTGTACCCGACTTGGAATCTCTGAATTGACATAATTAAGCCATGAATTAAAAGCCCGTTTTTCCTGTTTTAGTGCTAGTTTAGGCATGGTAGTGAAGTCTGCAAGCTGCCTAACGTACTTATCATCAGCAAGGACATTCCATGGCACAATGACGACTCGACTGTTTTGAATATCAGCGATTGTCGTCCGTCTTAGGTCTTCCATGCTCCCTATTGCCCGCACGCCCATTTGAGAGCATCGAGTCTTCCCTAAGAACTTAACGAACTCGTCTTGCCATCGCCTATAGAGAGTCTGAGGACAAACTACTAGAGTAGCAGCCGTCGAGACCAAGCCTAGCGGGTCTGTAAAACCTTGATCAGGAACACCGTAAACCTCGTCAATCTCATACTCCCGCTGTATAAGCGCAATAGTCGTGACTGTCTTTCCAAACGAAGGCAAATCAGCCAGAATACCACCGCGGATGACAGTCTTGTGTTGAATGCGGACATCTGCTCTCCAGTGCAGCTGAGCGTCAATGGCTTCCTCGGTTTCTTGAATTGCCAAAGTCTTCCCCTTTTCTTGATCGATAATCCAAGATAGAGACTTTTCTTGGGACGTGGAAAGGTCATGCTTCAAAGAGAGATTGCCGGTATAAGGCGTTTGTGATGAGCGGCTTTGTAGTTGAAAGCCCTTAGGAGCTTCACGTGCTGACTCATCTACGTGGTCCGATATCAACCTCCACGCTGCTGTATAGCCATGCTGGGTTTCAGTATGACTCCGTGCGCGATGTAACAAGGCGGCGATATTGAAAATCATCTGAAGGCGCCCCTTGCTATCTTCTCTCAGCGCTTGATGTGTAAATATGGACCCGCGTGGTCGTAATCTGCGTTCAAACTCTGCAATAGCTTCTTCATCCACCTGTGCAATTGCTTCTCCTTTGCCATTTATGCTGTATAACGGTCTGGGGATAGAAGGCGCACAGTCGCACATCGGCTCTAGAGCGCATGCTGTAATGTCTGACCATTCTGAGAAGCCACGTATTATCCTCGCGTATTCTAATGCCCATGAATGCGTAGCAAGGCTAAAAGCTCCTTCAACGTCTGGTATCGTCACCTCCAAGATTGGTATTGACTGGTCACAGCGACGGACTTCCTTCGCTGCAAAGGCAGAGACCAATGCTGTTGTTCGTTCAATAGGTGGAACAGCGGGCGTTAGCCTCAGGTCAACTCGTTGCGAATTCTCAGTACTCTCAACACTGATATTATGAGATGTTCTGTGGGTTGACCATGGTCTCCATGTAGAAGCGCAACGAGCGATCACTCTGCACGGTCTGTCGAGTCTTGCATGATGGCAACGATCGCTAAAGATGAAGGTAAAGTGTTGCCTATGGCTGTGATTCCTAATCCTGTACTGGTTGAACCCTCCTTCGCCTTCCCTCTGCTGTCTGTCAAAACCTTCTATCTGCCTAACACAGGCGATTGAGCAATTTTCACCTGTCTGCCCTTCAGCCCTAGGAAGTCCAGAGTCTAATCTCAGCGCAGTCCTCGCACAGCACTAGAGGATGATTTGTAGGTGTTCTAAGCACAGGTTAGTTAAGTCCAAGAATGCTGTAGTTTAGAACATACGCTACGTAATTGAGAATAAGCTGTAGATCTATGACAGTTGGCAACAAATGATGGTCGCTGACTATAATAGAGTACGTAGAGTCACAGTAGGTAATATACCCACCAGCCCTCGTTGTTAAATCAGGTGGAATGTGCAGTGGTTCGCTTCCATGGCGTTTGAACTAGAGATATCTATCAGCTGCTGCTCTACTACTCTTCCATGGTCAATAGCACTTACAGTATCTGCTTCAATCCTAAGCTGTGTAACTTTCTCATAACGGTCTCTGCCGTTCTCCCACACTATCACATCAACGTTCCTGTTGATAACAGCCTCATCAATCACAGTCCGCTCAGGTTCGTTGAGCGGTTTATAGATCAAGTCGACATATTCAGTGTTGTCGGCGTCAACCATAGTGAAGGTCTTAGGCCAGAGTCTGATCTTAGCGCACTTCTTGCACAGCACGAGGGGATGATTTGTAGGTGTTCTAAGCACAGGTTAGTTAAGTCTAAGAATGCTGTAGTCCAGAACATACGCTACGTAGTCAAGAACAAGCTGTAGATCTATGACAGTTGGCAGCAAATGGTGGTCGCTGACTCCAATACAGTACATAGAGTTGTAGCAGGTAATATACCCACCAAGCCTCTTTATCGAAGTGTGTGGAATGTGCAGGGGGGCGCTTCCATGGCGTTTGAACTAGGTATATCTATTAGCTGCTGCTCTACTACTCTTCCATGGTTAGTAGCACTTACGGTGTCTATGTAGATCCCAAGCTCTGTGACTTTCTCATCACAGTATCTGCCGTTCTTAAACACTTTGTCCTCAACGTCCCTGTAAATAACAGCCCTATCAACCACAGTCCAATCGGGTTCGTCAAGAGGTTCATAGATCAAGTAGGCTTCTTCACACTTGACCATGGTGATTTCGTTGGCTAGGTTAGTTGATTTGGTTGGCTGAAATGTTTCGTTTCCTGGGTTGTAGGAGGAAATATGAGGCAAGGTAAGCTTAAAGGTTGGGACTAGTCGTGATATCGATGTCTTATACTCTAGCAGCGGAGCCGGTGAACGGGAAATTCAGAGAGGTAGCGAAATAGTTGGTGAGAAAGTAGTGAGCAAGTGAGAGGGCAGTGAGCAAGTGAGAGTAGCAAGTGAGAGTAAGATAGGCGAGCAAGCGAGAGTGGTGAACAAGCGAGAGTGGTGAGCAAGTGAGAGTGGTGAGCAAGTGAGAGAGTGGAGGGTTAGGCCTCTGCGCTGGGAACTACAAGCCCGGCATCCTCATAAGCCCTCTTATGGTCGACCTTGATCTTCCCGACTCGGTTGCGGACCACGCCGGGCGTGGCACCGACGACGGATGCGATCTCCGCGTGCTTGCAGGCACCAATTGAGCTCCAACGTTACTCGAGGCGATGATAAGAGAAACGAGCCTTTAAACGTTGATAGTTAAGCGGGGCGCTGGATGAGCGACGTACCGAGCTGGCATCAAGAGACTTTCTAGGAAATATCCCGGAAGCCCAGAGAACTGCCTCACAGTCACAGAAGACGTGAGCGCAGAGTTATGGAAATTGGAACCTACAGCTAAGCAGACACTAGCCGCAGAGTCTTTATCTGCAGTTCCTATACATGGCTAATATGATAGCGCTGTCCATAATGAACCCCTTGAGGGTCATAGAAGCGCATCTAGTATTAAGGCAAGCGACTACGATGTCGAGCATAGCGGCTACACTACAGAAACGGCCGCGAGCACCGACTTCCTCCCGGGATCAGCATACAGCTCTCTAAGGGATGTTCACCACCGCAAGCGTGTTCGCGAAGAGAGCCAGTTTGACTCATCTACACACGAAGTTCTCAGGTACTACTCGTCATCGCCTGAAGATGATTTCAATGAGGTACCTGCCATTCACCGTGGCGCAAGCCGAGAGGAGGTATTTCTTCAAACTGTCCAATACGTCAGAGATGAGTTCCCCGATGTCCCCATCATGGACAGACTCGTTGAACATGTGCGAGACAGCTTGGTTCGTCGAGTCTCCGAGAATCCTCAATCTGAGAGACTCCACCACAGCAGTAACAGCCAGAGCCCCGACACCTCCGAGTTGAACGATGAGTTGGTATACCTTGCATCCGACGAGGAGGAGCACCCCATCGACTCCCCAGCCTCTGGAGACTCCTTCTCCGCCATGATGATGGTGTTGGATCTGCGGTGTTGAACGTGATCGTGACGCGCTGGCCCGACGGTATCTTCATGTCCACTCTGACAGGATATGGGAGACCACAATCCACGAGGCTCAATCGCAGTGTAGCAAATCGATCCCAGCATTTAGAGCTCATCCCTGGCTCCGTCGCGCTCTACTATATAAGTCCTGACTTTGAATGCAGTCTGTGCGCAATTGCTTGGCACTGGGTGCACTTCTGCTACTACTAGTCGCAGAACTGCCATGCAACAAAAGAGCAGTAGCTGCTATCAACCTCAATATAAGTTACTCTATTAGAGAAACTGCTATCGACAAACCCAGAGACTAGAGTCTCTATGGCCAGCATGGCAAAGCCTGTGTACATCAGCCTTACTATAGTTGCTAGGAACTGATCCTAGAGAAGATAGTAAAAGGCGCCAACCTACAACTAGGTGCCCGGCTGTGGTCTCGATGGAAGGAACATTCGGTGTTCGCCCTTGTGGCCAAGCGTACCGACTGGACCTGGTGTGGGTATATTTTTGCCTTTTTTCCCCTCTTCTTAGATTCCTATATAGAGAGCGTAGATATTCTTAAACCCCAACGTATACAGAGCTAGTGTCTCGCTCACCTACCTAGACAATATCACCCTCATTCATAACTAACCGTCCACGCGTTCAGTTCCATCCTACCTGAACTCACCGAGGCAAGGAAGCAAGACAGGGGTGGGATAGTCGAAAGCTGGTGTGTGGAGAGATGGGGTGGGGAGAGGGTGAGGCGAGAATAGAGGGAGAGAGTAGAGGGATAGAAGGGAGAGAGTAGGGAGAGAGTAGGGAGAGAGTAGGGAGAGAGTTGGGAGAGAGTTGATACTAGGGGAACTGAGCCAGATGTGCGGGAGCAATATAGTTAGATAGGTAGGGCAGCTGCTATAGTCATTATCACGGCCGATTATCACGGTATATAGAGAATCGTACAGCCGAACGTTGCTACAGCAAAGGTTGCTCTGATTTGACCAGGAGAGCTCGTATTAAAGTCGTAAAACAGTTCACTAAGAACCTTAAATAAGCAATAATATTCCGATCAATCCCACCTCGAACTCGACACGATATCAACTCAATATCAACTGTCTTACTAGTTATTTTTATTGGGTGTATAGTACGACTTTGCCTCAGAACCCATTTTTAGTAGACACACGGTAATATCTATTTGCCTAATATACTCCTATTTATAGCTGTTTAGTAAATATCTACTAGTAGTATCACTTTTAATACTTATTGAGTTTAGATCTTTTCAGACAGATCCATACCTAGGTAATGTAGATCCCGAAGTTATTAGTAATTAGTAGCATAAGCGGTTGTTGTTTCGTAGCTACACGGATGGATGTGAGACGTGATTGGGTAGGGCCATCAGGCACAATCGAGTGAGAGGAATAACAGGATATATATTCGGTAGTGGATAGAGACAAATCCTTAGGGTGTGAGGATTCGTACGAGTGATAGCTATATATACTGTTCTACAAGTCCCGTGTACGGACCGACCTATATCCGGATAGATCCCGGGAGGTATTCAGTAGGAGGATTGAGATGGATCGTTACAATGGATCGGCCGTCGCACAGTATAGATCTGCCTCAGTTGTTGGTTGGTCAACTGCACAGTATAGGACTGCCTTAGTTGTTGATAATTTAGTATAGATCTACCCTTGTCGTTATTTTCTAGGCTACACGATATACAGCTGCCTTAATTGTTGCTTTTGATAGCTTTTCCCTTGGTCATTATATTTGTTCGGTAGACGCACTCCCTGGGAAGATCTCACATATCTACGTCTTGGAATACAAGGGCCTGCCTTTTCTCTACTAGGGTACTGAAAATTATAAACATTCCATGATCTGAACCCTACCCGAAAGTTTGAAAAGGTCGACGGAAGGCGGGAGATCCCGTCTGGCTGTAGACGCCCGCCTTGGGTAGGTCCCAGACATTTGCGACTCGGGATATAAGGCCCTGTCTTTGGTCTACCGGAGGACGAAAAATCAGAAAGATCCCATGATCCGAACATGGAAAAACGCAGAGGTGAAAAGGTCAAGTGTCAAAAGTCGAAAGTCGAAGAGGGGGCATCACCTGGGCAGATCCCACGAATCGGAGCGTGGAGATGGGAAGATGGTCAGTGTATCTGCTCAGGAATTGCAAATCCGAAAGATCCCATGATACGAACATGAGAAAAATGACGATTCCTGCCATGGATGAGCTGGCTACCCCCTTTCCGCCTCTCACCACCACGCGTAGAGCCGGGCAACTACATTTTCTGACGCTGTGCTCTGTCTGTGACTCCTAATGGCAGCCATTACTCTTCTCTATTCATAACGTTTGAGCTAAGAACAAATCACTCTGTATTGACCATACGAACACTTATACAGATAATACAGCGTTGTTACTGCCGCAAGCACCCCCGCCTGAGTTGCGAGACCCAGGCTCCGTCGGCCTCCCACCCCCACGCTGCCCACCGTAGGCCTTCTTCATCTCCTTCCTCCCCTCCTCCACCCTATTCTTGGAGCCTTGGGGGCGCCCAATGCGGGCGCCCGGTCTTGCTCGTGACTTGCGGGGCGTTGGGGGACGCCGCGGGAGGTTGCAGGCCACTTCAGAGCGACGGCATCGGCCACACGTCGCTCCAACGTTACCCAGCATAAGAGACCTCTTGAATTCACGGCAGACCACTCCTAAACCTGTACACCGGGCGCACGGAGCGGACGCAACCTCTCCAAAAAGGTCATCAGCTTCAATCAGGTCAGCGTACAGCTTCTGTTGCTTCGGCCGTACGCTAGAAGTGGCCGCCAACCGATCCAAAGCCCGGCCCAGAGCAATCCGTGGATCTGCCAGCATCTCTTTCTTGTCTTCCTCCTTTTCGCCATCCTCTTCTTCATCGACGGCGGGGGCGCGGGCAGGGGCGCAGGCTATCCTATCCATGTAAGTTATCATTAGTGTGACATTAGGCTGACATGATTTACCTGGAAGGCAGAGGCGGGAGAGTCCCAGGGACCTCATAGATCCCCACACGGGGCTTCTTGATAGCCCTGTTGTTGTTGCTGCTGCTGCTGTTGTTGTTGTTGTTGTTGTTGTTGTTGTTGTTGTTGTTGCAGCACGAGGAGGAGGGGGAGAATGAAGGTGGCGGATTGTCTATGATCCTAATTAGATTCCACTCCTATACTACGGTACTCAATATGCCTACCTGGCTTCATGAGGGCTTCGAGGAGCTCTCCAATCACTCCCGAACACGACTCTACTGACTCGTTGTCGGAGTCACGGGGAGCAGCAATGGCGCTCAGTGATCGCGAAGAAGGCGACATAGCAGCAGCAGAAGTGGTGGTTTGTAGTTGTGGTGGTGCGTAGATTGGAAGAAAAGGCGTCGTAGGTGGGTTGGGATAGATCGAAGGTATCCTCCCCGACCTCACTACCTTCACTTCACTTCACTCTACTGGCCTCAGGTTTCAACCTTACCTTCACTTGAATTTCCTACCCGAATAGCCGTAGATCTCGATATTTCAGGCTTCTCTATTTGGGTAGTTCCCGAAAAACGAACAACTCGGGCAGATCTATACTGTGCAACTATCAAAGAACCCTCTCTAAAACGCCTACTGCATCCAACCTCGTGGGTGGCAATACCAGCGCCCTCACTCCAGAAGTCGTCAGATTAGTTTGTGGTATAGCCGAGTGGGGGTAAGGGTCTGAAGACTGCATGCCCTGTAATCGTGTGTAGTGTACGATCTAGGGGTGGCGCCCCTTCCTGATTGGTACGGCGTATTGTTGTTCTTTTTCTGAGGCCTTTACAAGACTCTGGTGATCTCTGCTTGCTAGGGAAATATATGTAGACACTGTCTAGTTCTTTAAGTTTGTTCCCGTTTTCTATAAGGTTGTTAAGGTTACTATTGTTGTTGTTGTTGTTGCCATCTTCGTCTGATGTTTCGCAACTGGCAACTGAATCTGAAGGACAAAAGGAATCTGCGGAGCTTGCGTCCTGATTGTCGTCATTCCAGTCTCTGGTACTGTCGCAGCTGTAATAACTACTCTCCTTCCTAAACACCTATTGGCACTAAATTTTATCCTTCTCCCTGATCCGCTACGCTCTAGAAGCTATACTTCACAGCACCCTCATTGCGATCGCTATCTCTATTATTGATTGGATCCTCATCCTACTCACTGCTGAATGAATCAGTATTACCGTTGGCAAATCAGTATCGTCACTGTTACTCTTGATCGCGTTCAGGGCTGTGGTTGTCCAGCTACCTCTCCTTCACGCAACACCAACTGTGCGTAACTCTACTAAGGGGACTTTCTGTCAAGATGTTAATTAAACCAATCAGAAAGCGAATCTACAATGCTGCCGACGGGTTAACTCTATATTCCCTCTCTAAACAAGGGCATTCGAGAGCTTTACCCAGGTTATTTGACTTCTCCACCCTTGGACCTTCCTACTCTCCAGATCCTCGACTTTAAACTTGACAAAGAACTGAAGAAGAAAGAAGGTCAGGTGGAAACTTATCATCATTACTATCCACAAAGACAACGTCTACGTTCACCTTGAAGGCAACGATAACAATAAGGTGGTTTTTGCCTGGAATAATTCAAAACTACTGCAAGACCAGTATTCAAGCATCAAGTTTAAGAGTCTATTCGGCCAAGTCAAGAGCTTTACCTAAGTTATTTGACTTCTTCACCCTTGGACCGTCCTACTCTCCAGATCCTCGACTTTAAACTTGACAAAGAACTGAAGAAGAAAGAAAAGGTCAGGTGGAAACTCATTATCAGTACCATCCACAAAGACAACGTCTACGTTTACCTTGAAGGCGACGATAACAATAAGGTGGTTTTTGCCTGGAATCATTCAAAACTACTGCAAGACCAGTATTTAAGCGAGCATCAAGTTCAAGAGTCTATTCAGCAAAGTCAACGGCGAATATTCACGCAGTAAATTCGGTAGATCTAGGATGGATCAGGTCAGAGGCAGAAGACGCTGCAAAATCGCTGTTACCAACGCACCAAGGCGCCCTATCAAGTAAGACAATGGTTCTACAGCGGTAGATCAGAGATTCCAAGCTACGCAGAAGAGCTCTTTGGCAGTTGGAATTTGCTCTGAGGTATTTGGAGACGCGTGGTTAGTTTGAACAGTCGAGATTTCGATGGACTAATTAGTATTTCAATAGTTAACAATGTTCTGGTTGTGCAAAACAGAGTGCAATTATTCAGGCAAGGCAAAAGGCACTAGAGCCTGATCGTAAGCAACCAGGCTTTAAGGGAGTTTTGCCTTTAAAACTTCGACTGCCTGCGCCATGACTTCTCTGGTACGCCACCTCAACTCCCTTCCTCACCTCAATTCCCTTCCTCACTCAGTGCCTCACTACCTAACACTCACCTCTCTTTCTTACCTTAATTCTCTTCCTTACTTAGTGCCTTACTACTAAACAATTACCTCTCTTTCTCCCCTTAATTTAAAACTCCTCTTGTGTAGGTAGCTAGTAAGTAAAGCCCGTTAATATTACACGCATTGCCCATGCCTAGTTATAGGGAAGGCCCTCCTTCTACCTGCCCTGTTAATAGCAACGAGCCTAGCCTTAGGAAGTCTCCTCCCAGGCATGCTATTCGTTGCTTGTCAGACCGCATATGTCTGTTGTCTAGGCGGCGGTTAGGCACTCCTAGTAATCGCTAACCCCTTGCTTCCCAAGGCCACATAACTAAGAACGATCAGTAGGAAATAGGACAACGCTACAGCACGCATAAATCTCCTAGGTAACTACGTAAATAGGACAGAATCTCCTGTACAGCAGGCGTCTCGTGTAGTAGTAGCTGAGGCAGTTGTCCTCACCCTAGCAGTAGCGTGCCAGAGTTCAGTGGCGCCAATCTCTCCCACCAGTCCAGCCACGACGCGTTCCAGAGAAAACAGTAGCACGCGTTCCTAAGAATCAACAGCACGCGTCCTAGGTTTCAGCACCTAGGAATCAACACGCACCTACAAGGAACGACAGCACGCACATTAATCTAACATCCTTTCCCTCTCGCCCTATCTTCTATGGCAAGCCAAAGCATGCGTACTCTCTCCTCTCCCACCCCTCTACCTATCTACAAGGCAGCTAGGCGGGTGGTTCGACGCGACGACGATGCTTGCCACCAGCTCCAGACGGTTATGCCAAGCTACTACAGTAGAAAGGGCCCTGCAGCAGCGTGGGTCGCCTTCCAGTACGAGGGATCCCTTGGACTGCCAGAGGAGGGCCATATCTTCGTGGCAGATTCCCCCGACTGCGCCCTCCAATGGCTCTGCAAGCATGTCCCGGAACAGTGCCTTATTAGCACGATTCACGCCCTCTGCCACGGCTATTCTGATAAGAAGGCCTACACACAAACGCTATCAAGTACTACGTCCATACAGGGTCCGATCTCTCCTGTCTCCCTCGCAGGCCAATCGGAACGTCTCGACGGGGTGGAAACAGGGGAAAGGGAGGAAACAATAGGAAGAGAGGAAACGATAGGTAGAGAGGAAACAATAGGAAGAGAGGAAACGATAGGTAGAGAGGAAATAGAGGGTAGGGGAGAGGAGGGGATAGTAACCTTACATAGTGCTTGCCAGAGTGGAGGAGACAAAGCAGAGGAGGAAGCAATAGGAGAAGCAGAGGAAGAGGGAGTAGAAGAGAGAGTGGAGGAGAGAGTAGAAGGGGGAGTAGAAGGGGGAGTAGGAGAAGCAGAGAAAGAGGCAGAGAAAGAGGCAGAGAAAGAGGCAGAGAAAGAGTCAGAGAAAGAGTCAGAGAAAGAGACAGAGGAAGGGGGAGTAGAAGGGAGAGTAGAAGGGGGAGTAGAAGGGGGAGTAGAAGGGGGAGTAGAAGGGGGAGTAGAAGAGGGAGTAGGAGAAGCAGAGGAAGAGGCAGAGGAAGAGGCAGAGGAAGAGGCAGAGGAAGAGGGAGAGGAAGAGGGAGAAGCAGACGAAGAACCAGCAGAAGCAGACAAAGTACTGGAAGAGGTGGTAGAATGCGTACAAGCCTCCTCCTCCCTCGCCAGGCGCAAGCGTTCCCCCGTAGTCCAGGTGGCATCGAAGCGGCGCCGGACGGAGCGTAGCGACGACGCTGCCTACTGCGGCAGGCCGGCCTCGCCATCACCCAGCGTGGGCTCGCGCTCCGACTCTGAGGAGGGAGAGGATGGCCTCTTCGAGGCGCGTGGAGCGCCCCCTTCCCCTCCCATGGCGCCCGAGGCGGCAGCTGCTGCCTGGTTGGAGGACTCGCCACGCCCGACGCCCTGGAGGCCGTCCTAGGGCTGCAGCAGTACGCGGAGCAAGATGCGTCTACCTACCAGAGGGACGTGTACAACCCTTCCATCTCCCAGCCGTTCGCCTCCCAGGCGCTCCCCGTCCGGCGCGGCCGCAACGACATGCTCAGTGCCCGGTACGCTAAACACAGAACCCGGGCAGCTAAGTGCTATCCGCCTGCCCTGTGGTGGACCTTTAACCAGCGCTGCGAGCTTGCGTGCAAGCGGCGTGAGTACGAGCTCCTGGTAGACGAGGAGCGCAAGGTCAAGTCTACGGCACAGGGCCAGGGCGACCGGGCGGCCGCCCGCGCCGTCCGCGAGCTCTTCTTCCGCGATCACCCCCGCTTCCGCGATGCCTTCCTGACCTGCCCCCGCAGCAGAGAGTATGAGGAGAGCGAGGAGTGGAAGCTGCTGCGCCGGCAGCTGCGGGAGAGCCGGACGTGGTACAGCGCCTCCGTGGGCTGCACGAACCTGGCCCCGCTCGCCCTCAGCGTTCGGAAGACCTTTAACCAAGTCTACAAGGACCTCGCCCAGATCCACCCAAGGAATCCCCTACCTATCCTTTGCCGCACGCCTCTGCCAGACCTCCTGCACCAGATCGGCCCGCACGCTGCACGCCAGTTCCGCCCCAGCCCAGATCTTCCCAGACTGACGGTCCTCCCCGTGGGGGACGCCTCCTGAGCCGGCACTTGCCACCGCCCAGGTCCCTCCTCCGCGTTCTGGTCCCCATTGCGCAGGTGGTGCCGTCCGATAGGAGTGGGATGAACCTTGGCTACTGCCTTTCATAGCCCTATAGTGAAACAGAACTACGTACATCTACTCTATTGCTTCTAGTAATAACGTGTCAACTCTATCATGCAACCAATCGTAGTATGTATAGTAGGGAGCGTACAGATAATAGACAGCAGGTATGCTGTATCATAATTGAAAGCTACTTACTCTAACTCACCCACCGTCTTTCTTATTCTTGCAACGCCTTCTTCCATTCCTATACCTCTATCACATTATCATCGCAATGTCTCAGTCCACGATCAAAGCGAGCCCTGTCAATAAGAAACGTGCCCCTGCGACGGAAAGACGGGATTCCAAAGTTCCAGAAGGATTTGGCATGGGAGATTAGATGGATCTGACTGAAGTATTTTAGCGAGCCTTTCTTGCGTCATCAGCTAACTGGTGAAGGCGAGCGTGACCTAGGAACGAGTTGTGAGGACTCGGAGATGGGAGATAAATGAGAGGCCCTTACCTGCATGATGAATGGCAGATTATAGAGAATTGAGATGCTTCAGGCATGCTCTAGACATACATTCTTCATATACCTAAGAATTAGGATCAAAGTTCTTGCCGACCTCCGCCTCAAAAACTTTCAAAAGTCAATTTATGAAAGGTAACGATGTGTCGATCATCTCACCTGCAACATTCAGTCCAATCGTGCTCGTTGGAAAAATCTGCATAATCAGAAACTGAGTCAAGCAGCAAAATAAATCGTCCATTCCCAGTCGTTAATTTGGGCGCGAATGAGGGTTTGTAGGATCACGATTATTAGTTGGAAAAAAACAAAGGCAAGAGATTGCTATAATAGGCTCTTTGGCAACGCTTGTAAATGGGAGCTTCTTGTACGGAGTGCCATGGTCAAAAGGACACAAGCCTCAGCAGATAATGATTGTATAGTGAAAGACAAATGTGAAGGGGGTCAGTACAATGATATACTATTATATGCTAAAGCAACAAGCGGAAACAATTCCGATTGGACATGCAAAATGAACTAAACTCTAGGGTGCCAGCTCGGTCTGTGCACAATATCACTATTCTTCGCGTGTCTGAGCGAGGAGGCAGTTCACCTGAGCGTGCTTTTAGGCTCACCCAACCACACCTGTGCCTACTCTGTCTGAGCCAACATTCGCTCTTAAGACCTAAACACTCAGTATCCCATTATGACACACAACGAGCCTAATATTGCTCAGATTCATCAGCACTTGTTCAATCTATTGTCGCCTATTCATGAACGGTTTGGTGCTGCTACGGCTCGGGACCTCTGGAACATAAATTTCCTGCCATTGGTCCATATAAAGAAAGCCAAAGCAATGGTGAGAAGGTATGAGGATATGACCAAGCCAGTGGACTGGGATAACCTACCTGCTTGGATAGAGCAAGTAGTTAGCGCAGTACGTTTCGATTCTATGCAGTTAGCTGAAGGTCTAAAAGCCCTACGCATAGACACAAAGCCGAGCTCAAGCGATTCTAAGACTCTCATAAGTCTCATAGAATCAAGCCCTTTCGCACGACAGTTACGACGTGCGTTAGGTCCGAATTGGGCTACGTGGGTAAAGAACAACAGTTTTAATGTAGATATGCCAATCTCCCACTTGCCCAAGTTTCGCGATCAGGCATTGAAGCTGGCAACTCAGGTTATCATGGACTGGGAGAGCCTTCTAACTTCAAAGACCACTGGGAAACTTGATATCCTCCGACAACGTTGGGACAGGTTAACAGAAGGACAAAGGAAACATTGGCTGAAGCGAGAGTTCGCTTACCTTTTTGATCTCCCACATCCGGAGATATATGGATGGATTCGGTCTACAAATCCAGAACGTTCAACTCTCCCGAAAGGATTTTTCATGATGGCCTTGCTTAACCTCGAGGACTTGTGTAAAACACTCCCAGATTTTCTTGAAACCCGTGCAGCCTGGCATCCTGGCTTCTTCCGAACAATTGACAGTCGTTCCCTTCCGCTGGGCTATTACGCCGGAGGCTTAAAGCTGCGCGTGCCAGGAGCGATGAAATTCTTTTCAGACACAGCAGTATCATACATCCAATTCGAAGACAAGTACGACCATGCGCAGGCCCAGCTAGTGCGCACCGACTTGGGCCTTTACCAACTTGGGGCACAGCAAAGAATATACGCCTTCCTTTCGTCGTGTCCCCAGAAATTTGTGGACTTAGCTGCCTTAGAATGTCCATCGCAAGATAGTATTCATCAATCTTCTTCTCTTTTCAATCAAGCTTCGCTCTTGGATTTCCGCGGCCATCCAAATCGCGTCGATCTAGACTATTTGGTTCATCTTACGACCGCTTTACGAGACGAAGCGATGGATCATCTACGGCAACTTAGATCAGACCCGGACTCATTCATTGAGTATTGGAACGAAACTTCTGGACAAGGTTCGGAGCGAGTCTCAAATCTACTGCATACGTTGTTCTATCGGATCGATACCTTCCAATCTCTCAGTCACCATCTTGATGATGTCAAGAAGCGCATTCCGACTGAAAATGAAACCGCTGAGAACTCCAATACCGCACGTGCATACCCTTCCAATCTAATGTCCTTATACACGGCATTCCAGTCATGCCTCACTGAAACTGTCCAAGAGCTTGCTCGAAGTTCGTGGTCACCGGATAGCAACAGCGTGTTTTCCCAGTTATTTAACATGGCGAAGGAGCTTAATCCAGTAATCTGGATGATGGGAATCCCATCGGTTATGCGAGTGATTGATCGAGAGATTAGGGCAGATGACTTTGGCATGAGGATCCCTGTTACAGTCATGCAAGCACTGAACGATATTGCTATCTTAGCTGTTTGCACTCGGGAGACATGGAAGCACTATACTTTCGTAGTAGACGTGCATGCTCATATTGACAATGTTAACGACCTAGAGATTTGGTGGGCGAAGCGGTCACGACCGTGGACTATGCTCGCTGAGCGAGCCTCTCTAGCAATGGGTAATGACGATCGCTCTAAGCTCGAGAAACATACCCGCCGTAAGGATATCGACAAATACGACCGAATGTGTCAATTTTGGGATAGTGTTGATAACTCTCTAAGAGCCGAGACTGTAGAAGAAGAAGAGATAGTCGAACTGATAATGCATAGCCTACCAAGACACACATTGCCACTAAAGTCTTGACATGGGTGGCTAAGTTCAGATACCACACATGAGGAAGTCACTTTGACGCAGATGCGGCGATCAAAGAAACGTCAGTCTTTTACGCCACACGCTCCTCTGCCCATCACAAAGTCACTGAATCCGGTATCGTCGGATTCAATTCCCATAGTGAGGCCCACGAAGAACAGGAAATTTTGGGCTGCACTGTTGGCACGCTCTTCGGAAAACAATTCACAATTTCGCTGGCAACAGTTCTGCAAAGCGATGGGGAACATTCATTATGAAATAAGACCATTAACGGGTTCTGTATACAGTTTTGAATATTCTGAAGAAGGGTCGCAAGCTACAGGCTTAAGGCTCGGCACAATTATCTTTCATGCTCCGCATGATGAAAAGATTACGCACCAACAAGCCCAGGCACGGTGGTTAAAAAGGCTCAAACAGCGATTTCACATAGAAGTTTGATCCTGGAAGACGTTGGCATTCAATGAATCTTTTTATTCATATGCAATGTAGCTGAATCGTTGATGCAAGGATATCTTACAAGGGCGCCTAGCATCTTAAACTTGAGCATGGATATAGTTCTAGTACGCAGGCTCTCGCATTTTAAAGGGAAGCAGAGTTGTTGCTGTGATCTTTCACTGCATGCAACGAACTCACAGCTAAGATTTGTATGTGCAACTTGTCTAAAGTTGCAGATGCACACAATCTTGCCTTTACTTCACTCCTTTCTACGAATTCTGCCTGACTCTGTTTGTCCTACCATATCTTCAGTCTTGACTTATTGAACTTGTCCTTACCCTCTTACACGGCATACTTGCTGCTTGCCTTAAGGCTTACTCTACCTTTACTAACTTTATTATATAATTTTGTGATATTGCACAACTATTTGCAGAGAGCGTTTAAGCTGTAAGGCAGTGATATTGTGGTATTTTGTTGACTCGCACGCCTTTACTTTACTCACACAGTAAAGGAAGCGTCCTTGACCTCTACCTTCACCTTCACCGCTCCATGCGACAGTTGCTACAGTGAATCGTCAAGCACGGGTATTTAGCTTGACTTCTCTCCTGCTCTCTCGCTCTCGCTCTCCCTCTTTGCTCTTATCGCTTTACTTCTCTCTCACCCTGCCGCCCTCTTTCTCCTTCTCTACCATTATTACTTGACTTCTCTTTCTCTCTTTCTGTGCCGCCATCCTTGGACTTCCCTGTCTCTCCTCGCCTCTCTTCGCACTCTTTTCGCGGGCCCCAGGTCTTCCAAGCCACTACTATCTTCGTTTTCCTGTCTCCATTCTGCTTCGTCGTCATCGTCTTAGTCGTAGTCCTCATTTCGCTCAGCCATCATAACGAAGACGAACCCGATCGCCACTCCGCAAAGTACCAAAGTGAAGATGCAAGAACTTGCGGATCGCACGCAGGCACATGCCAAACCTGCGCCGGCCTTCGCTCTTGGAGCTAACATAAACGACGTCATTTCAGCTATTGCAAAGCTAGAGTGCCTTGGTCTTGCAAAGTTCGACATTCCGTTGCCAAAGTGCGTCGTCCTCGGTGAACAGTCCACCGGGAAATCGTCTGTAATAGAGGCGATATCAGGAATCAAGACGCCTCGATCAACGGACACCTGCGCTCGATGCCCGTTGTTCATTACGATGAATCCTGGAAATCACAAGACCAACCCTGATAACCAACATACCTGGACTGCGCAGGTCAAGCTGCGCATCAATTGTGAATTCATTCCTGGAAGGACTCCGCGCGGACAGCCTATCAGGCGCTACACTTGGAAGCCGCTTCCAGCTCCACGCGAGGAAGACTTCGCCTTTACAAATGACTACAAGGAGCTCGAAGAAATCATTGCTCGAGCGCAATTGGCATTGCTGAATCCAAGCACTGATACAAGGAAGTTTATCACCTCAGCTCATCAGCTGAGAGAGAGTCGCGAAACTGAGTTCTGTCCGAACTTGGTGTGTATCGAGATTACTGCGCCTGGCTTGCCTGCCTTATCCTTCTACGACCTCCCAGGTGTAATTGGCCAAACCGAAGACTCGTCGCATGAGTTCCTAGTCAAGCTTGTCCACGATCTAGTCACCGACTACGTCAAGGATCCTGAGTCATTGATCCTTGTTACTTGTTCGTTGGCAAACGACATGGCAAATTCGTCTATGACCCAGATTGCCAATAGGAATAATGCGATTCATCGTTGCATCGGCGTATTGACTAAGCCTGACCTTCCTAGCGGAAGTAGCGACGTCACAATTCGAAAGGTCCTCAGCGGACAAGCGTACAGATTGGGGCATGGATATTTTGTGGTGAAGAATCTCTCCCAAGAAGACATCAAGAAGGGTGTGTCACACGCAGACGCCCGGCTACAAGAGGAAGAGTTCTTCAGTACCAATGAGCCTTGGTTAAGCTCCGAATACCAGGATCGGTTTGGAACACCAAGGCTACAGTCCTTCCTCTCGAAGGAGCTAGCCGCACAGTCTCTCAGGGCTCTGCCTGAGATCGATGGAAAGATTGCAGCTTGTCTCAAAGACATTGACAATGAGCTTGAGAAGATTCCCTCTCCTCCGTCTTCTTTTAACGCCGTCCGTGCTATTTTTGACAAGGTCCACAAGTTTTCTGAAGATGTACGAAAGGATATTGAGGGCGATAATGAGCATACTGCTTGGCGCAAACTCTGGAAGGAGCTGTGCACTGAATTTGCTGATTGCCTTGCTGACCTCAAGCCTGTTTTAAAGACAGTGGGCAGACTTGATCACGGAATTCTCCGAAATCAGCAGGCAGGAAAGTCTGTTGACAATTCGATCGTCAATGACTCCGGTCATGAAGAAGACGATGAAGAGTCAGGATCCGTGAGTCCGAAGAAGCGGAAGCTGGACAGCTCTTCTCAGCCTGTCACACCGTCGAAAGTACTGCTTAAGAACCCATCAATCCCCGCATCTCGGATATCTACGCCTGCCCCAGGTATTCCCAAGGCCCGAAAGGCCAAGGCGAACGACACGAAGCGACCCGTAAATCCGCTGCGAACTGCCTACGACCTTGACGAAGTTGCCCGAAGCCTGTCTCAGTATTCTACGACGCGAATGCCTGGTCATGTCGACCCGAAGATCATCGAACGCATGATTCTTCGCACCCTAGACCACTGGGATAGTCCGCTCAAGATGTTCTTTGGCAGCCTTAATCGCCATTTGCGTGAACGTCTTACGGCCATCTTCAACAAACACTTTGAGCAGTGGGACCAATCTCTCGTGTACGCTATTGGACTGCATGTGATCAACACGACTATCCAGTTTAACATTGATGAGCAGTGCAATTCCATGGCGAAAGACAGCCTAGCAGATGAGCGCGATGGTCCTCACATTATCAGCAATGAAGTTCATCAGTTCTTCCATAAAAAGGTCCTGGATACGTACACCACCGCTCGGCAACAGCAGCGAGAGAAGGTGTACCAGAACGAATACGATGCGCTATTTGGCAAGAAAATGACAGCAGCTGAGCAAGAGAAAGCGAAGATTGCTGCTCGTCAGGAGCCTTACAAGGTGGAAGTCGAGATGGTTGCCATGATTACGTCCTACTACATGATGGCGTCCTGTCGTTTCGTTGACTCGGTTTGTATGAGGGTTGAGTCGAAGTTCTTCAAGTTCCTCAAGACCCAATTGGGCGAGGAAATGATTTCACAGATGGGAATTCTTGGTGACCAAGGTATGTGCCACTTTACGTTACACTGGCTTCACTCAATATTAACCTTACACTAACTTGTGCCTAGGTCAGCAAGAAGCCGTGCACATTCTAGAGCAACCCAACGACGTCCAAGCGAAACGGAACGACTTGTTGAACAAAAAGACGCTTTTGTTGGAAGGACAGCAGCTTCTCGAGGATCTTCGCAAGAAGCACGGCGTTCATCCGACAGCGAATGGTAACGGCACAATGGGATCGTTCCTCGAGGCTCCTCTCTCGCCTTCTGCGATGGATGGAGTGTCATACGAGCAGTGAAAGAAGACTGCAATGCATTTGCCTGGCCGCCGGGATCTCCCACTTTACGATCGCAGGCGCGCGATTCGTGATTCGAGCAGTTACAATTTCCTGTTTGTTTTGGCCAACACATCTCCTCGATAGATGCCACAGTCATCGTCCGCCGTTCTCGAATAAGGTTGGTGTGAAGGTTGACATAAAGGTTAATATGAAGGGTGGAATGAGTTGATGTCCTTGTCTTCTAAAAGGCGGTTGACATTGCAAACACGGCCAGGTTTTCTTTGGATGATATGGTCAGAACAAAATCGAGCCCAGGTATTCAATTGAGCTATTTCAAGCTCCATAGGTGGTAGTACAATAGATTCAGGTCATTGCACACGTTGCGCTCTGCTAAATTAGTGACTATATCGATCATCAGCAAGCCGATAATGCCGGCGAAGGAAAGCAACCTTGCTTGGGGCTTATCCGCTGGCACCATCGCCCTTTGAAATTGGTTGAGCGGAAGAGAGAGAGAGAGAGACAGAGGAAGTAAGACCTTACACGAAACCAGCAAAATCCACAGAACAGCAAGCTGAGATATCCAGGAGTGATTGCCCAAACTGAAGACTCATCACATGAGTTCTTGATCAAGTTTGTCCATGATCTAGTCACCAATTACGTCAAGGACCCGGAATTATTGATTCTTGTCACTTGTTCGTTGTCTAATGACATAGCAAATTCGTCCATGACCCAAACTGCCAATCGAAATAAGGCGATTCATCGTTGCGTCGGCGTATTGACTAAGCCTAACCTTCCTGGAGGTAGCAGCGAGGCTACCATTCGCAAAGTCCTTAATGGCCAAGCGTACCCACTTGATCATTGGTATTTCGTCGTCAGGAATCTCTCCCAAGACGACATTGTGAAGGGCGTGTTGCACGCAGGCGCCCGGCTACAAGAGGAAGAAGAAATCTTCACTGCTGATGATCCTTGGTGAAGCTCCGAATACCAGGATCGATTAGAGACACCAAACCTCCAGTCCCTCCTCTCCAAGGAGCTAGCAGCACAGTCTCTCAGGGCTCTGCCTGAGGTCGGAGGGAAATGGCGGCTTGCCTTTGGAGGGTAGTCTTTGGTGGGCGAAGGATTCCCTTTGGAAGATTGCCTTTAACAAGCGGAAATCTGCATTTAGATACCAAGATCAATTGGGCACACCAAAGTTCCAGTCCTTCTTCTCCAAGGAGCGAGCGGCATAGTCTCTTGGAGCTCTACCTAGGATTGCTCCTAGCTCCTCGTAGGGAAGAGATTATTAATCTACATGACTAAAAGGAGCTTAAGGAAATTATTACTCGAGCACAGTTGGCATCGTTGAATCCAAGCACCGATACAAAGAAGTTCATCCCCTTAGCTCATCAGCTGAGAGACACCAACGTTAACCGCGAAGCTGAGTTCAGCCCGAACTTGGTATGCATCAAGATCACTGCGCCTAGCTTGCCTGCGATCTCCTTCTACGACCTCCCAGAAGTGATTGGCCAAACCGAAGACTCATCGCATGAGTTCTTAGTCAGGTTGGTCCACGATCTAGTCACCGACTACGCGAGGGGCGGGGGTTGCCTTTAGGAGGCTGCATTTGGCGAGTGGAAGATTGCCTTTGGAAGGTTGCTTTTGGCAAACATGAGATTGCTTTTGCCAAATGGAAAGTGTTCATTGGAGACTTACCCTCCGAAAACACAAATCTGCACCTAGGTAGCAGGATTATTTAGGCACACCCAAGCTCCAGTCCTTCCTCTCGAAGGAGCTGGCGGCACAGTCTCTCAAGGCTCTGCCTGAGATTAATGGAAGGATTGCGGCTTGCCTCAACGACGTAACGTGTATCGGGGGCTGCCTTTCAAAGGGTTCGAACGTTCGAACCAGGTGCGGTGGAGGGCGAGGTCGTTCGGGTGGACGACGCGGAAGCGGACGAAGCGTTTGGCGGTGATCATTGCGGTGTCTCGCGGGTCTTGCTCTGTCGCTTCGAGGATCTTGGTGAGGTTCGGTATGACGTGGGGGGTTACGAAGATGTTGAGGTGTCGGATGTGGACGAAGTGGGTTGAGCGCGGGGCGAGGAAGATGGACATCTCGGGTTGGTAGGTTGGGTAGGGGAGGGGAGGGTGGGTGAGTTTGAAGAGGATGCCTTCGGCGATTGGAAGATTGCCTTTGGAAGGTTCTTTTTAGCAAACATGAGATTGCCTTTGACAAATGGAAAGTGTTCATTAGAGACTTACCCTCCGAAAACAGAAACCTGCACCTAGGTAGCAGGATCGATTGGGCACACCAAGGCTACAGTCCTTCCTCTCGAAGGAGCTGGCGGCACAGTCTCTCAGGGCTCAACCTGGTATTGATGGAAAGATTGCAGCTTGTCTCAAAGACATTGATAACGAGCTTGAGAAGATTCCCTCTCCTCCGTCTTCTTTTAACGCCGTCTGTGCTATTTTTGACGAGGTCTACAAGTTTTCTAAAAATGTACAAAAGGAACTTAAGGGGCATTTTGAGCACACTGCTTGGATCAAACTCTGGAAGGAGCTGCGCACCAAATTTGCTGATTGTCTGACCGACCTCAAGCCTGTTTTGAAGACAGGGGGTAGGCTTGATCATGGATTTTCTCCAAGATCAGCAGGCGGGAAAGTCTGTTAACGACTCGATCGTGATTGGTGACTCCGATCGTAAAGAAGACGATGAAGAGTCGGGATCCGTAAGTCTGAAGAAGCGCAAGCTGGACAGCTCTTCTTCACCTGTTATACTGTTGACAGCACTGCTTGAGAATCCTTATCAACCCCCACGTCTAGGATGTCTACGCCTGCCTCAGGTATTCCTAAGGGTCGAAAGGCTAAGGCAAACAACACGAAGCGACCCGTGAATCCGCTGCGAACTGTCTATGACCTCGACGAAGTTGTCTGAAGCTTTTCTGAGCATTCTACTACTCGAATGCCTGGCCATGTTGACCCTAAACTATCGAGAGAATAATTCTCTGCAACTTAGACCACTGGGACAATCCGTTAGGACTACGTTTTAGCGCGCTTAATTGCCCTTTGCGTAAGTTGAGTGAGATGAGCAACATGATATATTCGGCGGTAGATCGAGACAAATCCTTGAGGAGTGAGGGTTAGTATGAGTGATAGATAACTAATATACTTAGTTAAATTAGTTACTAAGGGGAACTAAGCAGACTAAGCAAGGACTAGGAGGAACAGGTATATAAGATTGCTAGACTTTATATGTAGGAGTTCTTTGTAATTAATAACAGGTTGTATCTAACCTTTGAAAGTACCTTACCAGTATAACAGTAGCTTATCTGTAATAAGTCAGAGTTATTACCCTGTCTTTGATACTCGCTTTATCAATCTACGAAACCCTCTGCAATACCCTTCCTTTACTGAGTGTAAGTCGAACCGATCGTTACATTACTATCGTAAGACGGGGAGATGCTAATGCACAATAACTGCATTGCTCGTAATGTCAGCTTAGTGAGCATTTCGCACTACATACCTAGAAGTAGCTCTTCTCGGAACATAGGTCAGATCAAAGGCTGAAGCATTACAAGAAAGGAGTTCTTTCAAGGGAATACAATGTCACATTTCATCTATGCATCAACATCTTCCTTCAGCTTATCTTTGCAATTGTCATTCATTGCAGACGTATAGACATGAGGTTCGCAAGATATTCTGCATATTGGGAAACATAAACAGTCAGTAATATGCTATTCGCATTACTGTACCTGATTCGGGGAAGGGTCAAAATATAGAAGTGTGCTCGTTGCAGGTATAAATAGTCCTAGGATAATAAGAATGTTCCTTCAGCTTAAACAGACCAGACCTAAGTTCAGCGCCGTTTTCTAGCACTTTTATTGACTACCTGTTGAAAGACAGTACCAAGAGGTATGCTTGGTGTTTAAATCTTTGTGGAATTGTGCTAAGCAGTTGTTTGGCAGGATTGACAACAATCATGGCACGATTCATACTGGCCACGATCCTCGCTTTTGGAGCCGTTTCTCAAGCAAGCAATGTTTGCGACATGTATGGAAAGGATTGCACCGGTGTATGCAACAAGCAACAGATTGGCAATACGCCTTTGAACTGCAATACTCAGCAGGGGTCATCTCTTCGATATAAACTGGACAGGCCATGCTCCTTGACGTTCTATTCTGGCACCAACTGTGGAACTGTTTCGCAGACTTTCGGAGCTGCCAGCGAGGGCTGCCATAATTTCATTGGCACCAAAGGATCGTGGAGATTCTTTTGCTAGAATGTTTGCTGGAGGATCATGATTTCGAGTGGTATGAACTAGGGAAGACAAGGGGATGGAATGTCACAAATTTTTCGCAGCCTATGTGTTCAACACAACATAGTGGAAAGTGGCCGACGTCGTCTGCAGGGTGCTTAGCACCAATTGACATGCATGGTTAATAGTTTTGGATAATAGTTGAGACTGTCACTACAGAACGAGAATGTGTACACATTTGATATTACGTTTTGTTTCAATCCTTTTGTGAGAATGGTACCTTTGCCGGCTCCCTTGAAGTGCCTCTGAGCAAGAACCGATTCTTTCGCAGCTTAAGTTACGGCAGTTTGCAGGCTTGGAAGATGTGCACGGCGAGAATTCTATATATTTCATCTAACTATCTAGGCAGTACCTTGACGGTGTTCGTCTAGGTAGACGGAGTTTTCCCGCTGGAGAACTGCGTAGCTTCCCGACGGTCTTCCGATGGTCTTCCGTGGGCCAAGTGGGGTTTATTAGCCTTATCGATACCTGATAAGCCAAGCTTTATTCTCACGTGATCGATTTTCAGGCAATGAGGCCAAAGGAGGATTCGCTTACAACTCTGTGAGCAACTCAGGAAGAAGGTGATAGAGATGTCATTTGATATATCAGATGGGATAAGTACTGCCGTTCTATTGAGAATGTAACTACGTTCTTGCTACATTCTTGAAGGCAACCAGAAGCGTTGCGACGGACGCTGGACTTGGCTTCCAATCTTCTAGGGGTTGCGGCGAAAATGCGCCATGATTGGTTGAATTCTAAATGGCCGTATCTTATCCCCCCGCAATCGGACACGATAGACGGGCACAACTGGTGGCAATCCGACGGCAAGCTCGCCGCCAGTAAGTTGGACCCCGCGATAATGGACTTGGACTATGCCCCAATATCGATCTCTGGGGACGCATACCGACGGGAGCCGCACGAACAAGTACCTTTTAGGTCAATAAATGCGCTCCCAGTGGACTTATAAATAAGTGCCTGGACACCCTTAACATTCTACTCCACAGACTTTTCCTTCTCCTGCGTCTCTCTTCATTGTCAGATTCCTTGTAGAGATCTACTAATTATGACTTCACCACAATCACAATCTTACCTTATCGTTGGCGCTGGTGTTTTCGGCGTATCGACAGCCTACGAGTTGATTCGGAAGTATCCACATGCCTCTGTAACCATTGTCGACAGAGATGCTTGGGACGCAGATACACGCGTGGCAGCATCGTGGGACTGGAACAAAGTAGTCCGCGCCGATTACGACGACATAATATACTGCAAACTTGCACTCGAAGCCCAGGACATCTTCGAAAACGACCCTCTGTACCAGCCGTTCTTTCACAAGACGGGCATTTTCTGGATCTGTCGGTCCGATTATGCATCAGCGGTAGTCGACAACTACAAAAAGCTAGGCCGCAAAGCAGAACTTTCAGCTGTACCTGTCTCCGAAGCACGGAAGCTGTACGGTGGGCTTTTTGAGGATGCTGACTACACCGGTGGAGTCCAGGATGTTCTCGTGAACAAAACGAGTGGATGGGCCAACGCCGGTGACGCACTCCGCGCTGTCACAAAAAGATCAATTGAACTAGGCGTTAAATACGTCGTTGCCGATATTGATTCACTCCAGTTTGAGGAAGGTGGTAGATGTACCGGTGTCAAAACTACAAGGGGGAACAGTCTTACGGCATCCCATGTTGTCCTCTGCACCGGCGCTTTTACCGCCAAACTGCTCGAGCAAGCCGCACAGGCTAGTGGCAAGCCGGACATCAGCGCTGGTGACCGAATAATAGCGGGTGGTATTGCTACCGGCATGACTACTTTGGACGAAAAGTCATACGAGCGGTTTGCAAAGATGCCTGTCGGCGTGCAGGGCTACAATGTCGCAACAGGACCTTTCATCGGAAGCCTGCCACCAACTCGCGATCGCGAGCTTAAATGGTGGGGTCAAAAGATATTCAAGAACACACAGAACATCCTCGGTCGTCAGATCTCTGCACCACCAAATGAGCCAGATTATGCGCAGTGGAAGGTGTCGGGTCCGCTGAAGCAGGACATTGCACATGCGAACAATGTATTTTACGGCAAGAATGGTGCAAACTGGAAAATGGAGAAGCACCGTATTTGCTGGTACGTATTCAAAGTCTGCATGGTTTCAGTCCCTCTTCTCACATGATGCCTTTTAGGGATGCATTTACTTCCTCCTCTGACTTCATAATCTCCCCGCACGCTGCTGCGCAAGGCCTATATGTTGCTACATGTGGCTCCTTCCACGGTTATAAGTTCTTTCCAGTACTTGGCAAATACATTACACAGATGCTGGAGGGCACCCTAGAACCAGAGTTGCAAGCTAAATGGGGATGGGATGCAAAGAGGCCGGCGGCAGAGACAAATCCCGATTTCCCTCGCTTTGAGATGAATGACTTGTTAGATTCAAAAGCGAGGTTGTAGCGCCACAGCATAGCGTATAGTCGTTTTGGGAAGGACGGCGTTCTGATATTTTGTATTGCATACTACCGTCATTAGAATATAGCTGATAGACTCTTAACATGTCTATAGCAGTTCTGAGGAATATAATGATCTCTCGATACTTTTTAAAAATATTTCATAGGCATTCACTTGTGACCTTTGCTGGGACGGAGCAGATTGTCTGCCGGATTATATTTGCTTTCTTCTTAAGAGATCTGGTTACCTAGGTGAGAGTTTCTGCTAGGCAGTATAATTCTACAGCTGTGAATCGAAGTTCTTCAAGATCTATATATTAGCACGTCCATTTCTGGCAGGTTGTCACCTATTGTCGAGTTTCCATCATTTGTTTTAAAAGGTCCAGAACATTATAGCAACTGCAACTGTAACAAGATTGACTGCAAATATGATAAACAATCGCGTTGATAACAAAGGCATATACTGGAGTCAGAACGAGAGAATGTCATCAGCCGCCTCGCACTATGCAGCTTGTGACTGTATCAATATTTATGCTACAATGACTATAGCCACGAAAAGCTCTTTTCAACCATGACTAGAATGATTCTCTCTAGGTACACACGAAGCCAACAATGCAGTAGATCTTTGATTACGGAGATTGCATAATACTGCAGCGTAGGACCTCAACTTATACTGAAAGCAACTTCGAGGTTGCAACCACAACTGCGTACTGCACTTTTATGCGCATGCATAGTGTGTAAACTTGTGCCAGGCAACCCGTACTGCTCATGTACTGCTCCTGTAGATCTGCTTTACACCGACACTAGAGGATTGCTACGGAGAGATGCTCCTCAATATAGTGGCCGGTGTATTCATATCCTCATGGACAGATACAGTCAAATTAGACGTAATAGTCCGCAATGGGACATGATTTTCCATGACGTTATTTGGATTACTTGTTGTGGAAGATCTGGATCTTAGAGAAAACTTGCTCTGGACACTTCGGATGACTTTCTGTACTGGTTGCGTGCGCCGAATCCCTGGAAGTGGAGGCAGGCAAACTGCAAGCAGGGCTACTGTCACCTCAACCAAGTACCAAAATATCCCAGTAGATATGAGTGCTGCACACAATTAGTGAGAGCTTCCTTGAACATATTGGGCTACTAACATAGTGGGTCTGAATGTGCCTGTGGTGTAGCGCCTACATCGACAACCCATTGAAGCCAGATCAATCGAACAAGTGATGCCGCTGTAGCCCTAGGTATAAAATAAGTCAAGATGAAAAGATAGCAACAGGCGAAACCTTACAGAGACCCTAGGAGAAACACTATGGAAACTCCTAGTCTGCGTTTTGGCGTGAGATGAAGTTTCCAGACTAAGGGGACTGGAATTATAATTATCAGACAGTCCATTACGAAATCGGATACTGCTAGACTATAAAGCATCCAGAAAGTGTTGATGCACTTTGTCTGAAACGCAATGCCTGACCAACGAGCAGTAAAGTCATCCCGACATGCGGAAAGGTAAGTAATAGTAAAACCGAGGAACCAAAGAATGACAATGAGCATACAAAGGTACACAGAGATATTTCGAAAGCTCCTAACATTTTTACTGTCGTAAATAAATATCCTGGCATAGAAGAACAAGAAGCTAAGCTTTATGAGAGTCAGGGTCACAATTGAGAACAGTATTACCACAAATTCGATCTTTGCGGAACAGATTAGCTGGGGGTTTCATGCTGGCTGGTGTGTAGTTCTAACCTTCTTAGATATGAGTAACGCGTTCAGAAATCGTTCTGAAAGTGGTAGATTCCTAGTCGGTACTAAGTCCGAATCCTGCCCTAGAATAACGTGTTGTTTAACCCCGGCAAGATAGGCACCCACCATCCCAGCCGTCAGAAACTTGTTTATTATAAGCAGGACAGTAGCGTAAATAGCATGGTCGGTTCTCTCACCAAGGCAGGAATAATGAGCCAGTCATCAGTATTTATCTGCTGTTTGAGCGAGATGCGGGTGTATAAACGTGCAAAGACAGCAATGCAATCAGCAATGAATAAAACTGCTATAACAGCAACGCCCACTTCAGGAGATTCGATGTGAAAGAACATGTTCACTTGAATTGGTAAAAGGCTCTTCGCCTGTAGTACTCAGTCTTTGATATAAATAAATAAATAGTTCAATTTATAGTGCTATCTGGTTCCCTTTCGGGTCTATGAACACTTCCCCTACGTTATTGTGTCTAGTAGGGCAAACGTGATGCCTCTAATAGGGGAGGTATCTAAAAACCCCTACTTCCTACGTGTCCC